ACCTCATCTAAAACATACCTGGAGTTGTGTTTTGTTTCATTTATGTGATCCTGCATTATTAGTTGGTCTACATCTCCAAAATTCTAAATGCTCTTTTCCACCTTGTGATGTAATGAAGTGGTAACAGCTCTGTAACTTTTTTATCCAGGTCTGAAATTATCCAGATGATTCTAGGGAAGGTGTGTGGAGTTTCAAAGCACAATGGAGCATTTCCTGTATTAGGACATGACATACATCACAAGGTGGAACTGAGTGTTTTCAGTTTGAGAGAAGAAGCCTAAATATGTAGGATTTGTGTGTTAAACAACTGAAACAAAACATCTGAAACTTCTGATATTACATCTTTTTTTTTTGTAGCTTCATTGAAACGGCTTCTCTCCTCGATGCACCAGCAGATATTGAAGACTTTTTGTTGACAATCTGACCTGTACAGAAGGTAAAACAAAAATAACCCCTTAACGTCTGAAGGATTTCTGAATTCTGTGTATTGTGCTGAATAAGTAAAATTTGATTAATCACCATAGTAAATATATAATTTTCATGCCTAACTTTGTGCACTGATAAATGGATAAAGGTTTATGTTTTATAGGCATATAACTGTTCCATGTCTAAGGCTTGCTGATATATGTACTCAGTTTCTTTGCGACTGCTAAAATAGAAAGCTCTCTGGCATTTTCGTTTTGTAAAAGTAGCTCACTGGAGGAAAAACTTTGGAGAACCTTGATATAGACGTATATAAAAAATGTTTTGTGTGTGTGTTTTTGCCTTTAAGTAGACGGTAAATTAAGTTGACATTATTAATTTGACTATAGGTTCCGGTCAAGTGGTAACGGAGGGAAACAGGGGCAGATTTTTTACATTCAAATAGCTCTTATTCAGAAACTAGAGGGACTATTGAAATAAGTAAAGTATCAGAATGTAGGAAAGAGTTAACACTCCAACAGGGTCAAGTTAAACCTGTGATATTCTTTCAAGTTGTTGACAAAAAATTAAAAACTCATGTTGGTAACGGAGGGAATGAAATATGCAGCACTTTTTGGGCAATAAATACAAACAGTGATAACTAGCGGTTCTCACTTACATATCCTTAACAAACTGGTTTGAATATTTGCTTAATATAGTTTTCTACCATATGGTACAAGATTAGGTTGAGAAACCTCTTACTTTTTGAGTAATGAGATTTTTTATCAAGAAAGGTCATGGTAACGGAGGGAAAACTGTGCAAGCAAACAAGTAGAAGGTGCATGATTTTGCATAATTTGTCAGCTTTTTTTTCTTCCGAATACTTTAATATTACTTCAAAATGAAAGGTAACTATTTCTATAAAATATGTCAGTCCTTCCAAGCAAATTTTTATCATTTTAAATACATAAAAAAAAAAAAATCATGTATCTTCATCAACAGTTCAAAGATTGAATAACACAAGATATGATGAAATACATCAGTTTATTTACATGATTTGCAGGTCTTTGAAATTTGGGAAATAATTAATAAAAAATAATAAAATTAATAAAATAAAATAAAATAATTTATAAAATAAATGTTCCATGTTTCATACATGGTCTGTTTAAAATGTATGTAACTTTAGAACCAAAAAATGGTACAGAAAAAAGGTCAACAGTTTCATAAACTAGAGTACATATGTATCTGTTCAATACATTTTTATATCAGATGCATTAACTTGAGATGAATTTTTGGCCTCGCTGTATACTTCTGCTTGACCGGGCCCTATAGCAAAAAATAGATAGAAATTTGTTTGCAAATTTGTGACAACTAGACAAGTGCTTGCCAAAGGATCCTAGGAAAGTCCTGCATATGCACCAACCAGCACTGGGGGGATGCAGCCTCTATCTCAGCTTATATCTTGATCCAAAAGATTTGTTGCATATTTGTGACAGTCGGCGTAAAGAGTCTATATGGCTCCTCTAGTGTACTGTCGAGTAATGCAGTTTAATTGCGGCTAAATCACTTCATAACATCAGAAAGTGGAACAGAGCATTTTGATCTTTGGGAGATGCAGACACCCTGATCCAGGGTTACTCAAACATGTGTGAATGAAACAAAACACAACTCCAGCTTCCATGCTTTGAGGAGGTAACAACATTTTAATATGAATCAGTTTTAGGACCTTTAAAGTTTTATTTAATCTTCATACTTTTAATCCTTTACAGTACGTGCTTTATGTGCAAAGTACTCCACGGGTTTGTGACGCTGGACTCAATTTATAATTAATTTTAGCATACAGAATCTAAATGAGTCTCCTAATTATCTTCTATACGCTGTAATTACATTGTGTTCATCAGACATGCCTCCTGTTGTCAGGACTGTCACCACGTCCTGCCAAGGGACCAGAGACACAAGGCTAACATAGTTAACTCTGTGTGTGAACTCATGTAGTTATTCAAAACCTTATATAGTTGTATGTATTGTTTACAAATTAGCCATTCTATTATTAGCCATGATCAGTGGTGAAAAGTAATAAAGTAAAAGTAGTAAAGTACTGTACTTAAGTGTAAATTTAAGTATCTGTACTTTACTTAAAGGTGCATTGTGTCACTTTTCTGGTATCATTCGATTCATAAGCTGGTTTTACTTGGTGGAAACCGTCTAACCTCGCAGCATTAGGATTTGTTCGCTTGATGGTAGACGGGTGCTTTTTTTATTTAACCAATCGCTGCTATTTGGTCTTGACGTATGTAATGCACCAGAACGTTCAGTGGTGTCCAAGTAATTTCCGGCACAACAGCAAACAAAGCAGAGAGTGAACATTTCTGTCAGTGATCACTGTCATTTCTGTGAGCTGAACTTGCGAATTAAAAGTGCAATAAAAAAATGTTAAGTTTGTATTTGACAAAGGAAGTCCAAATAGTGTATGCAGTCTGCTATCACAACTCGGGTTGGTTTAACTCTTCGCTGATTTGCCAGTGTGCTGTCTACTACTTCTGGGATTCTTGCAAACCGTCTAGTGTATTCTGATTCCTGACCGAGCCACTGGAGAGAAATGAAATTGAGCAGAGGCACTAGGTGGCGCCAGCCTGGCTACTTTTCTGGTGGATGGTCCATCAAATGTGTTTTGCTCTGTCTGGAAAGTTTCACAGTATGGTATTAAACCTTTTTATCTCCATGGAGACTAAACCAGACCAAGTTACAGGTCAGATCTGTGGAGAGGCGACCCCGCTCACAGTCAGAATACCTGTTTTTGTGTATTTTTGAGCTGTAAAACCACCTGTAAGTGAATAAATGTAAGGTAGATCTGCAATGACGTATCCATAGAAACAAGCAGGTGACAGACCCTCTGTGAGTTACTAAATGCACCTTTAAGTATCAATTTTAGGTGTCTGTTCTTTACTTAAGTAGACTGGAGATTTTGTTTTTAATTTAACTTCACTAGATTTGAGAGGACGTGTCTGTACTTTCTACTCCACTACCTTTTTGGACAGGACTGACAAGTAAAAGGATTTTCTATCATAGTTTGAGACCTGCTGAAAAAGCTGAGAACAAAAATATACAAATAAAAACCGCTAGCTAAATATTATTGATTCAACTGATTCAGCACAAATCTTTAGCAAAGTCACAGTGAAGTTTTATTAGATCTGTAAATCTGCTCGAAATGCTTTCACTTTTTACACTATAAGTACATTTTTAAACGGGTACTTTAATACTTTTACTTAAATAGATTTTTCATGTGATTTTTTTACTTGAGTATTTTTTGCTCCGATATCTGTACTTTTACTTAAGTAACAAAATTGAGTTCTTCTTCCACCACTGGCCTTTATAACAAACAGCAATGAGTTTAATGCATATAGTATTTTTTGTGCTTTACTTTGTATTATTCATTCACTCTATAACTAGTATTTGACAGCTACTAAAAACGAGGATCAAACTGCTTACCTTTGCGTTGGCGGGTGATTGCTTTACTAACTGAGTCACTCTCGCCGTCTGCAACACCTTTTTAGACACCACAATATTCAGATCTACGCTATAATGTTGTTTCATTATCAGAAACAGACCTGGAGTTGTGTTTTGTTTCATTCACATGTATTTAACTCACAAATCCTGCATATTTAGTTCTTGTCTCCAATGGAAAACACTTTTCCACTTTGTGATGTCATGTGGTAATACAGGAAGCGCTCCATTGGGTTTTTAAACTCCATACACTTTGACTAGAATCATTTGGATCATTTCAGCCCTGGAATCACCAATCTCTACTGAACAAAAGGTAAAAGGAGCTGTTAAACTTGAAAACTACTACTTCATGACATCACAAGGTGGAGCAGAGCATTTTGAGCTTTGGAGATGTTGACAGACTAATAATATAGGGTTAGAAAAAAAGATTGAAAAAGTAAAACTACAAACTTCATGCACACAATTCTTAATATATAGACCAACTGTATATGAAAAAGCAAACTTAAGTCTCTATGGAAATAAGGTTCAGCTCTGATCTAATTATTTTTTATATTGAATTTTTGGTAGCTTTTCAACGATTTTCCCAAATATATGCTAAAAAATAATCAGGTGCACTATGTAACTTTTTGGTGACCTGCTTGTCTCGACGTTTGTTTTTGCTTTTCCTGTAATGTTCCTCAGTGTGGCATTAAACGTATCCATGCTTTTATTGCTAAATATATTTTGAAAACACGTATTCTTACTGTTCACCCATGTTTAAGACACAAACCCTGCATATTTAGGCTGAGTTCTTCTCTCAAATGGAAAACACTTTTCCACTTTGTGATGTCATGTTGTAATACAGGAAGTGCTCCACTGTATTTTTAAACTCTTTACAGCTTCAGTAGAATCATCTGGATAGTTTCAGCCCTGGAATTGTCCATCTCTACTGAACTAAATGTAAAATGTAGCTGTTAACTTGAAAACTACCACTTCATGACATCACAAGGTGGATCAGAGCATTTTGAGCTTTGGAGATGTAAACAGACTAATAATAAAACATTACTCAAACATGTGTGAATGAAACAAAAAACAACTGTGTATGTTTTTGAAGAGATAACAACATTATAACATGGTTTAAAGCAGTGTTTCACAATTATTTTTTTTTTTGTGGACCCATATTTTTTATATTCATATTTTAAAAGTCACAAGCCTTTGCAACCCAAGTCACAATAAATCACAAAATAAAGGTGGATTTGACCATTATTGAACATTAATGCGGATATTTTATTGTTGACTGAGTGCAATTAGTATTACTCAAGTTTTAAACAATGAAAAACAGTAACTGAAGCGGCAATAAAAGGATCTATAAATTGCCTATTTGGACATTAAAACATTCAATTGAACCAGCAATATTGGAACAAAATAATCAATAAAATAATTACAAAAAGATTAGAAATTATTCAAAACATGTCTTAACATTCCAACCTACATGCAGATCGTGACAAGGCGACCCAAAAATCTCTTGTGACCCACTTCTTTGGAAACAATAGTTTAAAGCTCACAAGAGTCAATTTTGCGTAATATAGCACCTTTAATGTATAAATAAGTACAACAGCATTTACCCCGTACACAATCAGAAGTACAATCTATCAACGCAGTTTCTCACAGCAATAATTCCTTTTTTTTTTTTTTTTTACTTCCTTACTTAAACTGCATTTGACCCCGGGGTGTTCGGATAATAGGATGTTTTGAATCGGCCTAATTAAACCAACCAGGTGAAGCTGTAAATCGTAATGTTCATTTGCACTAACGACTTTTTTTTAAGCGAAGGTTACACGGCCTAATCAAATATTAAAGGGCACACACAGCCAGAGGCGAAGCAAGGCGTTCTGCAAGGCCTACAAACTTCATTTCTCATTACTGTCACGGAAAGAGCTGGTATGTGCTGCCCTCTGTTGGTTGAAATAGAAATTGCACTGTAATTTTTTTTTTTTTTTTTTTTTTCTACCCATGCTACTGATTTAATGTGTACTCAATGACTCACTTTTGAGGATGTAGGTTTTGATGAATGGAAAATATTGCGTGATGACTAACAAAGGTAACTACTGGTATTAATGGCACGTTTATCAAGTTAATCTCCACGTAGCCTAGTGATAATAACTTGATAATACTTGCCTAAAATTGGTACATTGCAGTTCTACGTGCATCTCTACTGGCGGAATGTTCAGCAGTTGCCGTGGTGACGTGGTGCACACATTAGAAAACGCTGTCAAACAAGTTTTAAGATTGTCTGAAAAGAAAAAAAAGTTATAAAAAAATACAAAACTGATTTAAGCGACACATTTTCAGGAGCTTGTGTTCAATATGAGCGTTTATGGTAATGTTTAGGTGGGCACAGTGGAGCACTTCCTGTATCACCTCGTGACATCACAAGGTGGAACAGTATGTTTTCTGTTTGAGAGAAGAACTCGCAGGATTTTGACAGGTGAATGAAAAAAAACACAACTCCAGGTATGTTTGTGATGTAAATTTGACAGCAGGTATCTGTGCTGTTGCTCCACTATATTTCTATATTTTTTAACTAACAATGTGACTGAAAAGTAAAAAAAAAAAAAAAAAAAAAAAAAAGACTTTCTTTTCTTTCTGAGACCTGCTGAAATACCTTAAAGTTAATTTATAACATTTCATTTTAATTAACGTCACAACTTTGAACAAACTATACAAATATGGAAAAAAACAGCTAGAAAAACAGATAAATCAAATAAATCACTTAAAATCAGCAATATTATTTATCAAATTTATAACATTTGACACTTTACTGTTTTACTTTTACTTGAGTAAGTTTTGCTTCTGTATCTGTACTTCTGTTCTTTAGTAAATGAGTACTTCATCCACCACTGTATGGCACTATACTTCTTTGATTTCAGGAAAGTAACTGAATTCTGAATACCTCCAAATGGAAGAGTAGCCTGACTGTACTGAAATACCCTTCCTGAATTTTATTTTTGGTACGTGTATTGAGTACAACACTGTCTTTACGGTAACAGAAGTTAGTTGACTTACATGGAGGAAAAAGTCTAGACATCAAAAAGGTTACAGGATGAGTAGTTACCAGGATACCCACCAGTGCTATTTAATTATCGCCCTTGTAAATGTCAGGGTGATATACAGTAGGTATTTTCAGCACCATGAGTGAAAAGGTGTTTTACTTGTCTTCTAATCATCCATCTTTCTGTTTTTTCAATTAAGGGCCGGTCATTGGCTGTTCCTGTACTGCAAAGAAAAAGTACAGGGCTAAAATTAAATGTCACATCTAGCCAGGGGGCAAGGCATAATAATAATAATAGGTAGGCGCTCTGGGACTATGTGTGAAAGACCTGAGTTGAGCAATAGTTCATGTGTTGAGAACTTGTCCACCGTGCCCGCTACGGGCACGGCTACAGCAGTGACGTTTTGATCAATCCCTCCCTCTATTTTGAACCATTACTGTCGAGGAGGCTAAATTTAGCTCTGTGCACATTTGTCATGTCTATTCTGGGGCAGTGATTGGCCAGAGCTGCAGATGACACAGTGTGTGACCACTGTTCCTCCTGCAGGTTCACATGAAACTGAGTGTGGAGGTGCAGGGAGGAGGTGCTGGAACACTGATGGAATGCTGTCCTGCAGTCTTTGTCAGGCTTGTCTTGACACACCCATAACGTGTATGACCACGCATATGAGGGGAGCTGTGAAATCATGCTGAAGCACACACAAGTGTCTATCTCTGTGTGATTATTAAAGCAGATACATCTCCACACACGGCCTGTTTAACCTAATCTAATGATAGATGAGGCATTCATTACAAATCCCATTGTTGTGCAGGAGCTGTGCAGAGCAGTCCCATGCCGTGCCCTGTTGCATGTCACTCATATGAAAAGTTTACAGGATGAAATGGTCCATGTGTTCAGAGCAGTGAGCAGAGCCACAGAGGAGCTCTCCAAGATCAGGCCAGGAGCTGCTGCTAAGATGAGGATCTGTGGAGGTGGAGGAGTCTCCCGGCTCTCCTCAGCCAGAGCAGGCACAGCAGCCTGATAGTCACACCCTAGTTCCCCTCCCTCCATGCCCGCCATGTTCTGGAGGAGGAGGAGATAGGCTACGTGTAGCTTGGCTTAGCTGGCTTAGCATTAGCAAAATATAGCTAAGCGAAGGCGCAACAAGCTCCTTGAGCGCCCAAATAAGTCCATTATCTTAGTTGTTTTTGTGGGATTACAGCAGTTCGATCATATCTGGTGATAGTTGGGCTGACATTCACATAGAAAGCACACCAAAGCACACGGTAAGTTTGACGCTTTCGACTGGACTTGATTTGTTTTGTTTTCCAACAGTGTCCTGTTATTCGGGGCTGGTGATGTCTCCGCCGAGCACCCCTTTTCACCGGCTAGCCCAACTACTGCTAACTAGCATGCTACTGGAGCCTCACGTCTTTAAATGACACGTGTGAAGTGATGCTTTTTGCTGAGTTATTAGTCCTTTGTTTTAGTCTAATCGGAGTGCGCGTTGAACTCCAGTTTGGTGAAGTTGAGGCTGTGGGCAGAGGATCGGAGCGTTTCTGTGGAGGCGCTGAGCTGTGCTAACCCAACAGGAGTGGAGCTAACGTTCATCCAACTTTTTCTAAAGTGGCCATGTATAATCCAAGCCTTAAATCTTAAAATCCCGAACGCCTTTATCAGAGAAGTGCTTAATTGGACCTCATTAATAGTTGAGCAAGTGACGGGCAGAGCGTTGTTCGGCAGAGTTGCCTAATTACGGAAATGGCTATAATTTATTATTACGTTTACTATTTTTATATTATATTTCCTCATCCATCCCTCTGCTTCTTGTTTCTCAGTCGTTATCACTCTTTCGCAACAACTTGAGACTCGCCTGCCTACTGTCTGTGACTCTGCAAATGCTTACAATACCCAAACCTGCGCTACCGCTTTGCCATTCTCCACCTAACCAAGCATGCGTAAAGGCTGTTTGAGATTCATCCAAAACGCCTCACGTAAATAATTTCTACTTGTATTGTTTTGGGGCAACGAAATCAGTCAAACGCCGAGATTTGTGGCACACCAAAATTAACTTTGAGCGTCGCCTGGTGAGAGTGCGCAAAATGTGCCAAACGCGTTACCATTTACGCGCGACCACTTACTTTGTTTACTCCGCCTGTTGATTGCAACTGCGGTCTGTAGCCTCTTCTCAGTAAATAAACAGCACTTTTACTCAATTACAATTATAGCTGCGGTGTTAATTTTACCGTACTTGCCAAGAAAAGGGCGCAATAATAGATAGGTGGGGTGCGAAAGGGCTCGGCTTTGTTCATTGTCAGTCCCAGTGGGTGACACATGCATCGTCACGGTCCTCCGATAGCGCCTCAGCATTTTATTCTGTGATGATACCGTAAAAGGAAAGTTACAGTAGGAAATACTGGCTGACACTGGGTTGTCGTTATCTCCAAATCAGCTGTGCCCTTGCTGCGTGTGACTGGCTACGTATAATCACTGGTTATCTTGTGTTTGACAGAGGACACAATGACATTAGTAGTAGTAGCTGTGCACACTTTGGAATATTATTGTACCTAAGAGGTGGGTTATTTTCTAATCTACGTTCTAGTGTTGTTTCCTTATCACAAAACATACCAGGAGTTGTGTCTAGTTTCATTCTCGCATGTTAAAAAACACAAATCTAATCTACACTGCATATTTAGTTCTTCTCTAAACTGAAAACACTGTGGTCATGTCATGTTGTAATACAGGAAGTGCTCCACTGTGCTTTGAATTTCCAGTACACCATCACCTGAATAATTTGGATAAATGTAGCTGTGGATTGTAACAATTACCGAAATATTGTGTTGTCAAAGTTCTCCCAATAATATCGTTGACCATCACGATCTTTTTTCTTAAATTAAGAGTTTTGGTGCAGCAATGGTTAAAAAAAAACAGAGGGAACTACATAGACCATGATCCTTTGCTCCATTTCAGTGCAGACTACAAGAAGAAATAATGTTCTAAGCACTTCTAAGTTTTAGTTCTTTGGATTAATTCTTGTCAATTGGCATTTTAAGAGGAAAAAGAAGCATATTCACAGTTTTGTTTGCAGCCTTCACAAAGTATCGCAGTAAATATTGTACCGTGAGATGTATATCGTGAAAATATCGTATTGAGAGATTTGGATATCGTTACGTCTCTAATCGTGAGCCTCCCCACCATATCGTGAGCTTTCCCATGATATCGCAATAAATATCGTTCCGTGGGAGTCATAACTGTGACAATATCGTATCGTGAGACTTGGATATCGTTATACCCCTAGGAATTAACAATCTCTACTGAAGTCAAGATAAAAGGTAACATAATAAGGTGGAACAGGGCATTCTGAAGCTTTGAAGATGGTAGACAGACTAAGAATGCACCGTTACTTAAAACATGTGTGAATGAAACCAAACACAAGTCCAGGTATGTTTTTGAAGAGGTAACAACATTATAACATCACTTAAAACTCACAGGAGTCATTTATACGCAATATAGGACCTTTAATTAAAAAGTGAATAGATAATTATAAGTCAAATAGAGCGATATCCTGCTTTGTTGATCGTCATTTGGACATATGACAGCTTCCCCTCACCTACTTACAGGATCTGTTGTGATTTGTGTTAGTCACAGGTAAATCTAAACAATGAAATTAGAAGTGGTAATAGTCTTTAGTCATTTAAAAAGAAATTAAAGGAAGAACAAGAACTACAAGAGCAACCACAGTTCTATGAATATCCGTGACGACACCAGAGGCGGTCAGATTAAAATGAAAGTTGAAACTGGTTAAAGTAATTCGGTAGTAATTATTACGCACACAAAACTGCATTGTTGAGTGTGCGCTGGTAAACACAGCTGTTTGTTCTTACCGTGACGTTCTGAATATCTGAAATGATCAAGTGAAGGTGTGTAGGGATATAGGCCTTTAGTCATTTAGTTTATTTATCGGTCGATGGTGTCTTAGTCGACCAAAATTTGTATCCATTGTTGTTAATCATTGTTTTTAGATTACAAGGATTTATATGGGACAAGAGCAGAAAGGAGAGGTTAGTTAGCGTGTGCGTTACTCGAAGAAGTGGTATTGTTTGGTATTTATATGTAATAAATCAGATTAAACTCATGATTCACAAGTTGAATCTGTCGTTTTATAAATGCGTTGTACTTTTTTCTTTATAAATAGTTGTTTTTGCATGAACTTCCACGCAGGTGTAATCTTGTGAGTGCAGTTTAGGTCAGATTGAAAGAAAGATACGCAGTTTTGTTTTGAGAGCTTTTGTCCCCGCCTCTTTTAGTTGACAAACCGATTGGCAGGACGTGTCTTTAGTTGACGAAGAATTTCTGCACACTTTCTGGAGAAGGCGGGCTCTTCGTCATGAGGTTTGAGCGACGGAGACTTGTTATTACTAAAGAAGAACCAACAAACTCATAAAAAAGTCTTAGCTGTAAGTAGTATAATAAGGTACTCATTGCATCCAAAATAACAGATGAAGTATTATACGTTTTGGTGCAGTTTCGGAGCTGCTGAGAACTATGGTTTCCTAGAATCTTCAGTTGAGGAGAATAATGCTGGTCTCAGTGACTGGACCGACTCATGAATATGCATAAACTCTCACGTCCTCACCACCATTGAGCCCTCGGAGCTCCTAAGACGATCGCGCTGAAGGAGAAGGGCCAGGGGGGCTGTGTGTTCGGGGGGTTGTTCAGCTGTAGGAGGGGGAAGCGAGGGAGCGAAGGAGGGAGGGAGGGGGGTTGTATGGGACGGACAGGACAGGCTCTCCTCTCTTCTTCCTGTCTGGCCCCGGTGAATAGGTGATTATAGCAGCAGATGTGTCATTAGCTGCTGTCTGTATTCACCGCGGATACTGCAGGCTCCACTTTTCACACGTGTACATGCCCCTGTCCTTCAGCTGTCCCCGTGTCGGACAGGAAACTGCGCTGTGACAAAAAGAACATAACGAACATTTAAAGAGTGTTTGAGAACAACAGGTCGCTTGCAATTTGTTGTGGCCGGTGGATGGGGCTTCTTCCTTAATGTCTGGCGATTGTGAGATGTGGTGCTGAGGCAAGTTGGTGCATGCTGGCAGCAGGAGTCATGTTACCGGAGAGAAGGAGAAGTCGTTCTGGCTGTGTGCCTGAGGACGGAGGAGTGGGCACTGTCCTCTCCACATCTGTGCTGCTGTGGGTGGTTACCTGTTGAAATGGAAGATACTGACAAAAAATGTTGAGTATCCCGAGAAGGACTAGATATTTCTGTAATCCAACTTGAATAGGGCTGATGTTTAAAGCGGTCCTGTAATGTAAAATTAACTTTTCAGAGGTTTTAACCATGTTATAGTTGTTGCCACTCATCATTTACTCACTGAAAGTTGTATTTAGAGTGATCCGTGCCTTGTTTGAGCATCTTTAGTCACTTCTCTTTAAGGCACCATTGCCAATTAACTCCTGTTTTCTCTGCCACAGGTGCATGCCCTCTGCTCTATATTTACTTAGTTCCCCAATTTTATTTTCTTAATCTGTGATATGATAGGATTTGGCAGTGTTGGATAGTAATTTTGGTACAAATGGAAAAAAAATCAGCTCCTTGTCAACATGATCTGCAGTTATCCATCAGAGGAGACAATAGCTACATGGCTCTTTGTTGTGGTAATGTTTTTCGTCGATGTGACCTCCCAATGGGCACTGCAGCTTTCTAACTTTTATCAAGTGATTTTTGATGAATATTGTCATTTAAAATGTCCAAAGTTATAACGTAAAGATCTGCGGGTGTCATAGATTGTCACTCTATAGCAGACACAAGCACAATATTATTTAAGTATCAGTCAAATGTAAAGAGACTGTGAAATTAATCAGTAGGGATGTAACAATAACCGAAATATCATGACATTGTATCGTCAAAGTTCTCACAATAATATCATGGACCATCACAATATATAGAATCACTTTAATTAAGAGTTTTGGTGTAGCAGTAGCTGAAAAAAAGACAGAAGGAGCTACATAAACCATGATCCTTTGCTCCATTTCAGTGTAGACTGCAAGAAGAAATAGCAGTTCTAAGCACTTTTAAGTCATAGTTCTTTGGATTAAGTCTTCTCAAGGCATTTTAAGAGGAAAAAGTAGCATATTAACAGTTTTATCTGTTTAGCCTCCACAAAATATCTCAGTAAATATCGTACCATGAGATGTATATCGGGAAAATATCGTACAGAGAGATTTGGATATTGTTACATTCCTAATCGTAAGCTTTCCCACGATATTGCAATAAATCTCGTACTGTGAGGTTCATACCGTGACAATATTGTATCGTAAGACTTGGATATCCTTACACCTCTATTAATCATACATTTACACTCAAATTTAGCATAATTTAAAGCCACCACTTGCTTGTCTCCATGCAGGTGCTATTTCTTTGCCTGAAATGTTCCACAGTATAGAATTAAAAGTATCTATATCCATGGAGATGAGTGGGCAGTGCCACCAGGCCAAGTTACAGGTCAGATCAGTGGAGAGATGACTCGGCTCAACTTGAGAATGCACATTTCCTGCCCCCTTCCTCTAAAAATGGCTCAGAAACTTCCAGGCAAAGCAATAAAACATGCCCATGGAGACAGCAGGTCCCTCCCTCCAGAAAAGTTCCACAGGGCATCTTTAAAAACCGCATTCACATTGTTACTGATATGATATATTGCCCACCTCCACATGGCTCTGCTTATTAGATAATATTATGATAATATTTATACAGTACGTCATGGGTTTGCGTTTTTAAGGTGTGACTATTCCCACACTTGAAGCATGTGTCAATCAGGAAGTGATTATTGGTTTTCTGTGGGAACACAAGTGCAGACCGTAAACAGCTCCTCTACCTCCCAACCAGTCGCATGTAACTTCTGTTTTCACTTCATCACCGGGGTCACCTCAGGCTGGCACAATATTAGAAGCACTCTACATACAGGTTTGAACACTTTTTTAAGAGAAAGAGGTGTCAGAATTTTACATATTTTTAATAAGTATAGTAATAATATAGCTGAGATTTTATATTTTATTATTTTTTTCTATATTTTATTACTTATTTTGACTTGTACTATACATTTATATAATTATGCCTTATTTGACACCCGTCTCTTGCTACCTTTTTGCTACTTATTTAGAATTTTTTATTATTACCATTCATATTTTTTACTTTGTGTACATTATATCAGGGCTGTAAGAAAAAATCGATTCAGTGATATGTTGTGATACTTCATTGCACAATTCTCGAACCAATTTAAATTGGATCTGGATTGGATTTTTAGGATTTTTAAAAATATTTTTCACAAAAAATAATTAGTTACATTCACTGTACATTGTATTTCATCCAATTGTGTTCTCTTGAAGGTGTAGTTGACTGTTGAAGTAATTATTGATAAATCGCAACATATCCATTATTTTAGTATCGGGATATATTGCGATAAATTGAATCGTGACATGCAAATCATGATATGTAATCGTATCCTCAAACTCAAGGCAATGCACACCCCGATATTTTATTGTGATGTGTGAGCTACTGTGTCCAAATAATTTCCCTTGTGGATCAATAGTTTGTCTAAGTCTATAAGTAGTAGTAGGGCTGGGTACCTTTTTGAAATATTTGGTACCAGTATTTAAGTTACATTTTCTGCAGTGTGTATTTATAATGCTGTTTTGCTTGTCTTTCAAAACCACTGTTTATCATTAATAGGGATGTAACGATATCCAAATCTCACGGTACGATATTTATTGTGACATAGGACACTTTTTTGCTTTTAAAATACCCTGACAAGATTTTGGTGTGAATTATTTCCGTCATAATCCCAAGAATTCAAGTAAAAAACATGTTTCTTCATGTTTTCTGCACTGAAATGAATCATGGGATATGTATTTATCGATGTTTATAAGCTGTTGCTACTATAAAACCATGCATTTAAGCAAAGGAACTTGTGATTTGATGTATTGTAACTAAGGATGGGCATGATTAATCGATTAATCGATAATTGATCATTAAGAATTTCATCGATTACGTTCATTTTAATCGACAAACCGAATGTAGGTTGCTGTGCGTAGCGTGACCAAACAGGGTCCGTACATGTGTCTCTCTGCACTCAGAAGGAGCGAGACACAAACAGTCGGTCAGTCTGCAACGCAAATGCGTATTTAACGATGACTTGTACAAGAAATTCCACGCTTTCCGTTGCGTTCGGGACAAGTGTGAGTCCATGTGCACAGTGAACAAAGCAGCACATATGTTTCTGTGTCCAGTGGGAAAAAGTTTTGCCAGGTGAGAGTCGCGCAATGTCGATGACGAGGCCCCACTTCCCTCCCCCCGTACGGTGTCCTGGTTTTGACAAACGCAAATCTGGTCACACTAACCTGTATTCCACTGAGTCATGTCTTTTTTAATCCTACAGAAACTGACCGCATCAGCGACACAAGAGCTGTAGTTTTTATCTTCGCTTAGTTTCTGCAAATTAGCGATGCGGTTTTAAGTTTCGTTTTTGTGAGAGTTGCGCAAAACTGCGTTAAACACATTATAATTTCAAACGGATTGATGTGGCTCTAGAGTCGTTACGGTTTATATGTCGTAAAGTTGAATTTATGTATGCAGGTTAGTAGTGCAGATAGTAATAATAATGATGATCATTTTAATATAAACACGTTAATGATTAATCGATAATCGATCGTTAATTCTTCCGACGATCGATTAAGAAAATTTCATCGAATGCCCATCCCTAATTGTAACAGTTCACAATATTGTTGTGAGACTTTTGACGATAAGATATCACGATATTTCAGTTATTGTTACATTCCTAATCATTAATGTAACTTTTTATTTAACCTGTTAAAATGTTTGAAAAACAATTCTCATGAGCAAACCCAAATTAGACAAAAGACCTCAGCAGGACCTACAACTACACTGATAAAACTCTTAAAAAGCCAATTTATTTAGTGGTATTCTTCCAAAATTAGCACAAGTATACACTATTATATCTTTTGTCTTTCTTCTCAATATTTGTTGATCAAATTTAATGGATTTTTAAGGTTTATGTTTTGTTTTATTCACCAACCACCCACTGTGAATTTTTATTTTCATCTAGCGTAGAAATAGGTGAGGTGTATTTAATTTTTTTGTAATTGAGTCATAATTCTAACCCGTTTCTTGTGTCCTTCAGGGGATGGCGTGGTGGTGTGAGCAGCCAGCATTGCGTGTGTGGAGATGGTTCTAACGGACGCCGCTTCAGAGGACCTACGAACACTGAAACGCCCCGATTTTTATATCAAAATTTTCTACACAAACACAGCCATTTGAACTTCTCTCTCTGAACTTTGAACCCCGTTTCCGCCGCCATGCCGAGCACATTCCGCCGCCAGATCAAGAACACGGTGAACAACTACTCCACCGTGGAACGCAAAGTCCGCGAGGCCACGTCCAACGACCCGTGGGGGCCCTCGTCGTCCCTCATGTCCGAGATCGCCGACGCCACCTACAACGTCCAGATCTTCGGCGAGATTATGGGCATGATCTGGCGACGCCTCAACGACCACGGCAAGAACTGGAGGCACGTGTACAAGGCCCTGACGCTGCTGGACTACCTGATCAAGACGGGCTCGGAGCGCGTGGTGGTGCAGTGCAAGGAGAACATCTTCGCCATCCAGACGCTCAAGGACTTCCAGTACATCGACAAGGACGGAAAGGACCAGGGCATCAACGTGAGGGAGAAGAGCAAGCAGCTGGTGGTGCTTCTGAAAGACGAGGAGCGGCTCAAAGCAGAGAGGTCTGTATCAGTCTTTACTAGGGATGTAACGATATCCAAATCTCACGGTACGATATTATCACGATATTTTGGAGAGGCTGATATAATTGTAGCTGGGACACTTTTTTGCTTTTAAAATACCTCGACAAGATTTTGGTGTGAATTATTTCCATCGTAATCCCAAGAATTCAAGTAAAAAACATATTTCTTCATGTTGTCTGCACTGAAATTAATCATGGGAAGTGTAGTTCCCGATTCATTCATTTGTTTTTCAATATAAAACCAAACTCTTGGTCTGAAAAAAGAACCTAATAACATAAATTATCCGAAGACCAAATGAACCTCATCGGACTAAGTATTTTGTTCATAATTTTTCTCCAAAACCAAAATGGAAACAATAGACAACGATTCGTTTTTTTAGTTTTCGATTTTGTGTTTAAATGAAAAATGGAAAAAAAACGGATAACGACCATTTCATGTTTCCGTGACTTAAACTGACATGCCGGACTGAACCAGGACTAAACCCGGACTGAACCAGGACTAAACCTGGACTGAACCAGGACTAAACCAAGACTTAAGCCAGGTCTAAACTGTTCTCATTTCTGGTCTCAATCCTGGTCTGGTCCGGGTCTCAGTCCCCGTCTCAGTCCTGGTCTTAGTTCTGGTCTGCTCCCGGTCTTAGTCCTGGTCTCAGTCCTGGTCTTGGTCTGGTCCCGGTCTCAGTCCTGGTTTAGACCTGGTTTAGACCTGGTTTAGACCTGGTTCAGTCCGGCATCGCAGTTTAAGTCACGTAAACAAGAAACGGTCATTATGCGTTTTTTCCATTATTCATTTAAACACAAAATTGAAAACTGAAAAAAATGAATAATTATCAGTTTTTTCATTTTTGTTTTGGGAACAAATAAAGAAGAAAATAGTTGTTTTTTCATTTTCTTATTTTTGGTTTTAATTTGAAAAATGAATGAAGGAATGATACACAGATTCCCGATGTTTATAAGCTGTTGCTGCTATAAAACCATGCATTTAAGCAAAGGAACTTGTAATTCGATATATTGTGACAGCCCATGATATTATTGTGAGATTTTTGAAGATAGGATAGCACAATATTTCGGTTATTGTTACATCCCTAGTCTTTTCTTTACGTGCTTTTGCTTGGCTAAACAAAGTGTATATAAGTTTTGTCACATATGTAAGCAGTTTCTTCAGTTCTGACATGAAGCTGGTCAGGCACTGTCCAGCCAGAACTGAAGATGCAAGTGAAATGTATTTTTTTGATGTGATTTAAAGAAACGGTGAACAGCCTGTGCTTTTACTGTTTTAAAAAGGTATTATGATCACTTCTGAAACTAGGTTACCAGTGCCTTAGTCTGCATATAGAAGACACACATATGTTTTTCTCAGTTTTAAGACAGGTCATGGCTCGCGTGAAAGCTCAAAAGCACTGATTCATGTTGGCTGCAGATGCTGGGGTTTAGGTAGTGATGGTTCAGATCGGAGAGAGGCATTTTAGGTTTAAACCGACTGCGTTTCAGCATTGAACCTGCCAACCCAAATGGTAGACTTATGAGGCTCTTTCTGCTTTCTGATTGGATAATTGATTTTCTTGAGAGCAAAAACACAATAGGCTCTTTTCACGCTTACGTCACAAATCAGGAAGACGTTTGGAAAGACGCGATGACACTGGACTTATCGACACTGGACTCACCTTCCGACTGTGATATCAGAGGTAAAATGAAGACAACATACGTATGTGCTGTTTGAAATCATCTTGAATTTGGTGTCCTCATCTCTTCTAATCGCATGTACCCAGTGAGCTGAGTTGTCTGTCAGTGAGAACATTATGAAAACTGAGGCATGGTTGGAATTGTTGATTAGCCGAACATAATGGAATGATACAATGACATGTAAATGAAGAAAAGTGTAGCCTGATTCGTGGAAACCGTCTGACTTCGCAGCATTAGGATTTGTTCGCTCAACGGTAGGCGGGTACTTTTTTTATTTAACCAAATGCTTCTATTTGGTCGTGACGTATCTAATGCGCTGCTGACAGGGCTAACTGGTATATTAAGCTTTTCCCAAATCCTGTAGGAAGAAGGGAAATGACGTCTTTCCCCTTGATAAAATTCATCAAACATTCTCTTTGTTCAGACTTTAAATTCTTGATCTTGGGAATCGTTGCCAACACAGAATGTATGTCTCGTCGCTGATTGGCTGGTGCCCGAACTTGCACTTCTGGGGTTCTTGCAAACTGTCTAGTGTATTCTGATTCCTGACCTAGTTGCTGGAGAGAAATGAAATTGGGCAGAGGCACTAGGTGGCTAGGTAATAAAACTGGACCATTTTATGATTTTTCTTAGAACAGAGCCCGCTGGAAGTTGTCATTGCATCTTTCCAAACATCTTCCTGGTTTATGAATTAAGCGTGAATAGAGCCTATGACATAAATAAATGAGACATCGTGTCCAATGTTTTTGAAATTAAGAATAAATCAGTTAGCTATAGTCTATTTGATTTGAACGCTTTGATTTGTTTAAAATAAAAATCTTAAATACGGTTCCTTTATGGATGTCAACTATAATTTATTTTGCTAGTGATATTTACTAGTAAGAGTATTTGAGACCTTAGTGAATGTTTGGAATGCCCTTCAGCCTTACAAGCCTAAATAAATAGAAGTTAAAAGTGGGTACAAAAAATGGTGCCAGGACAAAAATAGATTTGTTGGGTTTTAGCATTAATCATGTGAGTGTAAATAATCACATGTTACAGCCAATAATTAAATTGCATTACTAAGGAAAAGGCTTGGTTCAGTAGAAAGTAGAGCAGAATTTTCAACAACACATAACAATTAGTTAAGTATTTTTTAAATAACACTTTACAGTTTTTTTTAGGTCTAATATTAATTTTTTATAGGTCCCATTTTGTCCCATTATGTTTTTTTTTTTTAACTTTCTTACAATTGTTCTAGTCAAATGAATTAAATATTTGCTCTCAATAATTCCCTTTTGCTTTTTTTTTTTTTTTTTTTTTTTTTTTTACAGGAATTTAATACATTTTCAAAAGCTCTCCCTCATGGCTCACACTCAATCATTATAGACCTTTAGCACCATGGCTGGAAGTCCCACTCTGTTGAGTGGCGGGACTTCCAGTTAATGGTTTTTCTATGGTAACATTTCTGGAAATGTGTCTCATATTCTCCAACAGCTTCATAAATCTGCCCCATCACCAAATCTTCAACAAACAAAGTCGACAAAGGATATAAATTCCACAGCTATCAAGGGAAGAAAGATGAAAACATAAAACGAACAATGTCTAGCATTAGTGAACTACTTTTGGTATAATGTAAGTAATAAGTAATTCATTAATAAGTAACTTTTAAACTCAGACTGATTCTAGAATTAAAATTAAAAATCGATTTCATGATGTCCATATTAGTATAGACGGATAGATTTGTGCAGTTTAAATGCTACAGATGTTCACAGATTACATGTCTAATATTCAAACTGCATAAATCTATCCGTCTATACTAATATGGACATCATGAAATCGATTTTTAATTTTAATTGTAGAATCAGTCTGGGTTAACAAGTTACTTATGTTTTATTCAGGACCATAAGGTTAGTTTTGCTCAGGAGTTGTTCACTAATGCGTCGTCGTTGTTCGCCTTTAAGCTTTCGTCTTTTTTACCTTGATAGTTGTGGATAAATTCTTCATGGACAGAATATGTTCTTTGTCGACCTTGTTGGTTGAAGATTTGGTGATGGGGCAGATTTATGAAGCTGATGGAAAATACGCGAGACATTTCCACCGATATTTTGCCATAGAAAAACTTAACTTCCGTGTTAGTTATGAAAAAGGTCTATTGAGTTGATGCCTGATATTGCAAGGTTTCAGATGATATCACAACATTCTATAAGCCAACAAATTTAATATAGATCAGGGCAGCTAAAATTAATGTTATTAAAATTTTGTGCATTTACCTTTTGGATATTTCATGACAAAATACAGTGTAATCTACTGGGAAAAATGACTCTTGCTCTGATCTGGAAGTATGACATCATTACATTGTAGAATCTGAAAACCACCAATATTACAGTTCCCCATTTTAAGTAGTGGATATTATGCAGGTTCCCTCATCAAAAATGTGCCTGTAGAAGTTTTGGATGCTCTCTCCCAAAGCACGATTGTGTCCAGTGCTCAGCCCACGAGCCCATGCTTCCATAATTTTCCATAAATATAAAAAAAAAAGCATGATACAAAATAATACGTTACAACTCGATAAACTTGATGCGATGTGCATATTGTAACGTGACAGTGCTCTGAAGGTGGAGTGACTGAAACTGAAACTTATTAAACATGTAAATATGTTGTTTTCGGTGAATTTAGCATTTTCAAAATAATAAAAGGTAACACGTGATCTGAATATTTAATGTTGACAATTAATACCCCTTCTTTAAAAGTATAATACGAAACTTTTCTGGTGGAGAGTCCATCAGATGATTTTCTCCATGGAGATGTTATAGCTTTGTCTGGAATGTTTAAATTAAACCTTTCTATCTTCGTGGAGACCAAACCAGACCCAGTTTACAGGTCAAATCTGTGGAGCGGCAATCCTGCTCACTAGGGGTGTGAAAAAAGATAAAATTATTGATATAACATATCGTTTAATGTGATGATAGAGTATTGTTATTGTTGGGTGCTGTATCCATATATCACCAAGTATTTTTTTTTTAATATTATACAAAATTATTACAGCGCTACAGTTTTGTTTTTGTTAAGAGGAAGGAAACTCGTTTATGCAACACGTTTGACAAATTCACTCTTCTGATGATTAAAATCTGCGTGTTTTATATGAACTTTGCACAAGAAGTGGTTTAACAAAGACATTTCGTATCACAGCCATGATTTAGCCTTTATTTTTTATTGAACCGTATCGAATAGCTTTGAAATATATCGTATGTATCGTATCGTGGCCTATGTATTGTATCAGCCACTTCTTAATTAGGGCTGGTTATCATTAAGAAGTTGTCGATACGATACATACCTCGATACATAGGCTATGATACGATAAACTTTTTGATACAGTGAACTTTCAATTCAATACGATTCGATACGATACATTTCGATTCAGTTCAGTGAAAAAAAATCATGGCTGTGATACGAAAAGTTTTCTAAGTCCACAAATTTTCTGCAAAGTTAATATGAAAAACACAGATTTTACTCATCAAAACAGCGAAAATGTCAACACTTTTGTAGCTTTTCACAAAATAATTTAGTAAAATATACCAAAATTTACTCTTGGAGATATATCGATACAGCTGCCCACGATATCGATACCGTATAATCAAATTAAACAAAATGATATATCGATATTTCAATATTTTTGCACACCCCTATTCTTAATGATACCCAGCCTTACCGATCACAGTCAGAATGTCTGTTTTTCTAGGTATTTTTGAGCTCTAAAACTACTTGTAATTGAGTAAATTTAAGGTAGAGCTGTTTAATACTGTGGAACATTCCAGGCAGAGCTATGATATATCCATAGAAACAAGCAGGTAACGGACCTCTCAGCTAAAAAGTCACGTTTAAGGGTATAACAAAGCTCTAACCATGTGTAATTTCTGTTTATAGATCTCAAGCACTGAAGACCAAAGAGCGGATGGCCCAGGTGTCTACGGGCAGCGGCGTGGGCTTCGGACGGGGCTCCTCTCAGCCCAACCTGGCAACCTACAGCGAGGAGTACGGGCGCTCCGAGGGCTCGCCGGCCTCATACCACGGCTGTACGTACCTCTGCTGACTCACTCGCAGTCCCGACCGTGTCTGTGTGTAACTTTGGCCTACATCTTTAGATCGGCCCCTCCCCCTCGCGCTCCCCCGCACTCCTCTCACTACAGCTGCATTCCACAAGAGAGGAAGCGTAGGTCACCCCCCCGACAGACACAATATGGTCCTCTTCACCAAAGCAGAGGAGTTTTTAAAAGGGAAAAGCTGGTTTAAAGGTTCTACATGACACGAAATCGACTCCTGTGAGGTTTTAGCCACGTTAGAAAGTTGTTACTTCAAGGTAGGGCTCAGTATAGGCCACGATACGATACATACCTCGATACAGTGAGCTTTCTGGTTGATACAATTCAGTACGTTATATTTCACATCGATTTGATATAGTTTAATAAAACATAAATCCTAACTTATGGCTGTGATACTAAAAGTCCTATTTCTATTGTTGTAAAATCATACTTTTAACTATTTGTTTTGCTACTTTTCACCGTTATATTTACTGGTGGATCAATAAGAAGTTGCCGATACGATACACACCTCGATACAGTGCGCTTTCGATTTGATTCGATATGATACATTTCAAATTGATTCGATACAGTTTAATAAAAATTAAAGCCTAACTCGTGGCTATGATACTAAGAATCTTTGTTAAACCACTTCTTGTGCAAAGTTAATATGAAACACACCCATTTTAATCATCAAAAATTAATTTGTCAAATGTGTTGCATAAAAGAGTTTCCTTCCTCTGAATGAGCAACAAAACTGTAGCAGTGTAACAAAATAATTTAGTAAAATATATCAAAAAATACTCTTGGCAATATATGGATACAACAGCCCATGATATCAATGTTGATGTTTTGATATTTTTGTACACCCCTGCTTCAGAGTGCAGGGTTTGTGAATGAAACAAAACACAAGTCCAGGTATGTTTTTGATGAGGAAACATTACAACATACTGTAGGTCAGGAAATTGTGTAATATTGGACCTTTTATTGTTGGTAAAGATGTGGATTTCAAGAAGTTGGAATAAGGGTGTAACGATATCCAGGTGTCACAATGCAATATTGTCACGGTATGAACCTCACAGTACGATATTTATTGTGATATCGTGGGAAAGCGCACGATATGATGGGGAGGCTCATGATTAGGGATGTAACGATATCCAAATCTCTCGGTACGATATTTATTGCAATATTTTGTGGAGGCTAAACAGCTAAAACAGTTAATATGCTACTTTTTCCTCTTAAAATGCCTTGACAAGACTTAATCCAAAGAACAAAGACTTAAAAGTGCTTAGAACTGTTATTTCTTCTTGTAGTCTGCACTGAAATTGAGCAAAGGATCATGGTCTATGTAGTTCCCTCTGTATTTTTTAGCTATTGCTGCACCATAACTCTTAATTTAAGCAAAGAGACTTGTAATTCGATATATTGTGACGGTCCAACGATATTATTGTGAGAACTTTGACGACACGATATCACAATATTTGGGTTATTGTTACATCCCTAAGTTAGAATGAAAGTAAGGTTCTTTTTTTAAAGCTCATTCTATTTTAGTGCATTTATACTTCTTAATTTGGTCCTGAATTTGAGCCCAGTTTGCTCCTGTCTTGGTTTAGTCCTGGTCTAGTTTTGTTTGGTGTGTGTGCAAATGTGAATGCACCCAAAAATCTCAAATTTAACAGATTTTAAAAAAAGAGATTACTCTAAAATGTAAGGTTTGTATAAGTAGGATCATTCAATATAGACTATGTTCACACTTAACATGATCTGATCCTGGTTTGAGCTCATTTTAGTCCTAGTTTGGTTCTGTTCTAGTCTTGGATTCTCTATTCTGAAGCTGGATTCGAGGGTTTGAGAGGTAAATTCAGGGTCAACCCATAAATCCATCTTTTTCATGATTTTGATTGATTGTTCCTCGTGTGTGAAGTACGTCGCTCTTAACTTTTCTTTGATTCTAATTGGTGCTAACCCCGCCCCCGTCCTGTGGCTGCATGACTTCGTTCAGAAAGTTTGCGGTTGACAGAGCGACTACATATCTGGGTCAGTCTGTTTAGACATAGTCGATGCACCAAAATCAATCACACGTTCAAAATCAATTTCTGGATCTACTTTTTTTAATTGAAAGGAATAATAAGTAATAGTTTATCTAGTAGAATTTCAAAAAGTACTTCAAAAAGACTCTATAGAAACACCATTTTGTGATGATGGATTCTTGACGGTTTGTGCCTCAGAGGTGAAAGCGTCGTCAGCTGAGTCATGCAATGAGGAAACTGAAGGATCAGCCGTCCAATCAGAGGAGGGCCAGGATACACATGTGGGCGGGGCCAAACTGGATTTTTGGGATTCCATTGATCCTTCGGTCGACTGTTGCTGGTGCAGTGTGAATGAGGTCGAGCTAGACTCAGCGCTTTGCAGAAACTTAGTATTGAAACCGCCACATGTTGTATTTTTTAGCGTTTTGTTAAGAAAAAAAAAATGTATTTGCATCATTTGTTCTGGTTGAGTTATATCAGTCAGTCATCAGATCAGGAGAAGGTTTGAATGTTTGGCAGAAATAAAAAACAAACAAACACGTATTTCCTGTTTAAAAAAATGCTGCATTAAAGGTGAAGAGATATTTTGATATTTTATTTCTCCATTAAGTTGTGAATTTATACATAACTGAGAATTTGAATTTTGAGGTCATTTTTTAATTATTATTTTATTTTGCAGTAAATAGTTTCCATAGAAACACTGTAAGCTCAAAATCACAGTAAATTACATTTGCCGATGAAGGTTTTACTTTAGGAAGCAAAAATGGCATCTACTTTGTGTCATGATACTAAAATTTTGAACTTGATTTTTGATAGTAAAGAATAAACTCAATACCAGTTTTTATTCCCAAATTATCATTTTAAAGCAATTTTTTTGTTTTTTTATACAATTTTATAGTTTTCAACACAAAATAATAAAAACAAAATTATAAAATTCAAGATGAAACTGTACAGAAAAGGTCAAATTGTATGATTTAAACATTTTGAGCTTGATTTTTGATGCTAAAGAATAGATTCACTAGATTTTTTTCAGAAATGACCATTTTAAAGCTTTTTTAAAAGACAATATTATAGTTTTCAACACAAAATAATAAAAACAAAATGATAAAACTCAAGATAGTCCAGAAAAGGTAAAATTGTATTATATAAAAATTTTGAACTCAATGTTTGATGCTAAATAATAGACTCAATACCAGATTTTATTTCCAAATTATTCATTTTATCATTTTAAAGCTCTTTTTTTTTTTTTTCTTTGAGACAATATTGTAGTTTTCAACTGAACCAGAACTGTTCAGAAAGACTGTACAGAAAAGATCAAATTGTATCCAGTAGTTATGTATTTTTATGTTTTTTTGCTTGTTTTTTGTTTTTGTTTTGTATCGATACTTTAAATGAGTATCTAGTGTCTATATTAGCTTTATGATCAGTAAGTATTTGTTTTTCGATACTTTTGACAACCCGAGCAGCTACAGTGTATTTCCAATTTTGCACCTAATGAAACTGTATATTATAAAGTTAACAATTCTTAGAAAAAGTGCAGTTACGGCAATGAATGAGGGTAAGGGTGAACTGCTTTTCTCGCTGCTGTGGCTGTGGTATGTCTGACATGCTGTAATAATCCCTAAATGGCCTGTTCCCACGGTGATGCCAGTGGATTCATTTATTTGAGTTGGCTTGACTCTGTGTTTATTTGTCCTTCTTGCATCTCGTCTCATTATGATCGACGGTTTGTTGTACTAATTTAGTCAAGAAAATAGCGAAGAAGCTTTTTACGTTTCATATTGTACAGATACGGCTTTTATAATAATTCGATGTTTTCATAATTGATTTATCTTGCACTAATGCTGCCGGATGACAATGAAGATTTAATACGGTAGATTATGGTTCAATAGGCTGCGTTCATGATTAGAATTTGATTATGTCATTATTTCAGATGGAGGGCAAAGGGCCTTTATAAAAGCAATGGGATATTTATTGTGTTTGAAAGAAATATCCAAATTTATGGTCCACAAATCTTGAACCACATCATTATTATTTGTTTAGTATTCGCTCCACAAACTTGCCTTATTAATCCCGTGGCTTTAGGCCCTTTTAACTGGCAACAATCACGTCTTTTGGGTCGAATAATGGCACCGCTCTCTGAAGCTATTATAAGAAAGCACTTCTGTTTATGCAGCCTAACAGAAAAAACATTGAACTTTGTGACAGTTTTTGTTTAGGATGGGCCCAGTAATTACAAAGATATTAGTCATAAACCAGGTCAACAATCTGCAATGTGACAGTTAAACAGCAAAATACAGCACACACTCGTGACCTGTCCTGGTTAGTTTTTATGGAGTAAGAAAGCTTTCGGAAATATTTGCGTGCATAAGATAGAAATCCATGAATATTTGGGTGTAGTTGAGCATAAAATAAATATTCGAAAACTCTTGATTGAGTCCAGTCGTATGTAAAATGTGTTGTATGTATTTTATATATTTATATATATTTATTTTATAATTTGAATCACGAAATGAAAATTTACGATTACGCTTTTTTCAGTATGAATACGAATTCTCAGACGCAACTCGACTGTCAAAAATACAACATCACTTTGCAGACATTTATTGAAGCAGAAGAAAAATCAATTCGAGATGCCGGAGTTTTGCGCCGCATACAGACTAAACCAGGACCTGAACCAGGACTGATCCTAGGACTGAACCAGGAGGACTAAAACAAGACTAAAACAAGACTAAAACAGTCTAAACCAGGACTAAACCAGGACTGAACCAGGACTGAACCAGGTCTAAACCAGAACTGAACCAGAACTGAACCAGGACTGAACTAGGACTGAACCAGGACTAAAGCAGGGCCGAACTAGAACTAAACCAGGTCTAAACCAGGTCTAAACCAGGTCTAAACCAGGTCTAAACCAGGTCTAAATCAGAACTGAGCCAGGTTTAAACCAGGACTAAACAGGACTGATCTTAGGACTAAACCAGGAATAAAACAGGCCTAAAAGAGGACTGAACTAGGACTAAACCAGGACTAAACCAGGATTGAGTGTCGGGACGGGCCCAGAGGTGCGCACGTGTAGACCGTCGGGTGACTGTAGGCGAAAGGACCTGTGCAATGCTTGGCCCACCTGAGCGCACTTTGCGGACACCCTACTCCTCAGACTTGGGGTTCTCTCTCTCAAGTCTAAGTTTAGACCTGGTTTAGTCTTGGCTTAGACCTGATTTAGTCTTGGCTTAGACCTGGTTTAGTCTTGGTTTAGACTGGTTTAGTCCTGGTTTAGTCCTGGTTTAGACCTGATTTAGTCTTGGCTTAGACCTGGTTTAGTCCTGGTTTAGACCTGGTTTAGTCTGAAAGGTTTCCTACTCCATACATTTTAAAGTATGGACTTTCTGTCATATTGTGACGTCTGAATGCAGCTTATAGTGTCGACAGCGCGTCTTTACTATTCTGACAAAGGACTTCAAGTGCTCCATAACTCCCCTGTCATAGTGCGCTGCAGCGGCCCCAGAGGAGACCCTAGATAACAAAGTCAGCCTTTCCTCTTGGCACTCCTTGTCTCTTGTCCCCGGGGCCCTTCGCTTGGAGACGAACCAGGGGACAAGTGGATCCGCCCCAGAGCAAGTGTGTCTCTTCAGATAAGGCCGGACTGGAGAGGAGGAACAGAAAGCTGGGAATAATCATAATATAGAGCAGGGCAGTTCACTAAAAGAATAATCAAAATAGTAGAGATAAAACTGTGCCATTAATCAAACTTGAATTGAGATTGATATTCAGTCATTGTAGTAGTCAATAATGCGCTTGGCTCTTTTCAATGGAGGCCAAAAGTCAAGCGTCTGGATGAAAACATTGTACTACTTTTTTCTGTGTAAGTCTGTTAAGTCTGTTTTGTTTAGGTTCAGTGAAAATGACATAAATAGTAGCATTAGACTGATATATTGGTTGGCTGATATATCATTCTGGTAGTTGCAGTTTTAGCGAATTGGACTTAAATCTCCAGCACAGACAGATATTTTGTTTTGCCCACTAGCTGCCCAAAAAATGCACATAGAGCTTTATTTGAACGCTGTTGCAAAGAGATAACTGTACGGAGTTCGAGTACACAGCTCTCTAAAGTGCTGTGGGTGAGTTTATGGTAAATCCCAATGACATAATTTGGGGAAAATAATATAAATTTTCCCTACATATCCGCCCAGAAATATTGGCAGGGCTGGCCACTGGTTGCTCTGGATTCCAAACAATCAACATCAGCCATGAAAAAAAACATATACACCCATATAAATTGTATTTGTTTTCAGTTATCCAAAATAAAATTGATCACATTTTGTCACTAGTAAATGGGGGTGTGCAGAAATATTGAAATAATATCGTATTATTTAATGTGATGATACTGTATCGATATATCGCTAAGAGTATTTTTTGGTGTATTTTACTAAAGTATTTTGTTACAGCGCTACAGTTTTGTTGCTTGTTTAGACGAAGGAAACTCATTTATGCGACACATTTGACATTTTCACCGTTTTAATGATTAAAATGTTTGTGTTTCATATTAACTTTGCACAAGAAGTGGTTTAACAAAAACATTTTGTATCACAACCATGACTTAGCTTTAGTTTTTTTATTAAACCGTATTGAATCGTTTTGAAATATCGAATTGAAAATGCACTGTATCGTATCGGCAACTTCTTATTGATCGACCAGTAAATATAACAGTGAAAAATAGCAAAACAAATAGTTAAAGTTAAAAAAAAGTATGATTTTACAACAATAAAAACAGGAAAAAGTAAAAAATATATAAATCTACTGTATTTAAAACACCTAAAATACAGAAAAACACATTGTAAACCTTGAATATGAAAGCGCTCTTCTTTTTCCTTTTTGTGTTTAATCCAAATAAATAACACTTTTTTTTTCCTCCAGCAACTTCTCCAAACTTGGGGTCAGAGTTGGAGCAGGCCCGGCCCCAGACCAGTGGAGAGGAGCAGCTACAAATCCAGCTGGCTCTGGCCATGAGCAGAGAGGCAGCTGAACAGGTAAGAAGCCAAGGACATAATCTACTGCCATGAGAAAATTTATACCGTACGTAGAGATCTGCTTTTATCTGTCCCCCAGAAAACAATCCTAAATCTTGTGTTGTCTGGGGCTGGCTGTTTTCAGGAAGAACGCCTACGCAGGGGGGATGACTTGAGACTACAGATGGCCTTGGAGGAGAGCAAGAAAGAGCCAGGCTCAGCAAAACTACCCAAGAAAAAGAAGGAGGTAAAGGCAAGCAGAGACGTCCATCTGGTATAACTTTAGACTAAAAAATATAAATTATACCGCTTAAATGTCTTTTCCTTAAGCTTTTAACCATGCCATATTGTTCTCTCATCAAGAAAGTACTATTATTTAAAAGGGATGTAACAATAACCGAAATACCGTGATATCGTATCGTCAAAAGTCTCACAATAATGTCACAAAATATCAAATTACAAAATCCTTTCCTTAAATGCATTATTTTATAGTAGTAACAGTTAATAAACATTGGGAACTACATTTCCCACAATTCATTTCAGTGCAGACAACATGAAGAAATATGTTTTTACTTGATTTTTTGGGATTATGACAGTAATAATTCACACCAAAATCTTGTTAAGGTATTTTAAAAGCAAAAAAAAACCCCGTCCCATCTACAATTATATCAGCTTCTCCAGAATATTGCAATAAAAATCATTCTGTGAGATGAATATTGTGATAATATTGTACCAAGAGATTCGGATATTGTTACATCCCTATAATTTTATGTTGAAAATCACATTATATCGTCTAAAGAATCATAGAGGGATTGGAGGCTATTCTTTAGTATCGAAATCAAGTTTTAGTGTCACTACTTTGAACAGAATCTTCATATTAAAACATGACAAATAGTGAATGTGAATAGTGGCATAAAATTTCAATTACAGGCCCCTCTTGAAAAATGGATGATGCATCTCAAGGCGCTGTCCAAAATAAATAAATTAGGATTCTAAATAATTGAAATGAGCAGTTCTGTGTCTGACTTCGCCTGTAGCACGAGCCTGACCTCTGCATTGTTGTCGCTCCATAATGACCGGACCTCCATCTGTGTGTGTGTGTGAAGCGTGCGGGATAATGACACACACACATATGTCTCTTTGTCTCACCCCTCCCTGTCACTGACCCTGCGTGGTGTCATGTCTCCTCAGCCTCAGTCGTCTCTGATGGACCTGATGGACGTCCCCGAGCCCACTGCCAGTGTTGACCCCTGGGGCTCCGGGGCCGGGGCAGGGGCAGGGGCCGCGGCCGCTTCAGCTGACCCCTGGCAGCCCTATGGTAAGAAAGGAGGGAGGACAGAGTGCTGGAATAGACATTCTGCATTGTCCTCTTGTCATTGTTTATTGTGTATTAACTTGGAAGTATTTCTTTTCTTTTGCTTTTTACTAGAACTATATAAGATGGTTTTTATTTGTGTTATATATATCTATTGATCTTATAACTTTATCTCAAAAGGGCAGTTGAACAAAGAGCAGTCAAAATGCAAGAAAATTGTAAAAAAAAAAAAAAAAAAAAAACTCCAAAAGATCTCCACTGTGGACTTGTGTGGTCAGTGGATCCTATGTCAAGGAAGTATGAGGACTTTAACAGGCCTTAGGACAAAAGTGTCCCCCTACAGCCCAGGTATCGCAGCCAGCTTCCAGTAGGTTCCAGGTGAACTCTGGTCGACAGTTCAGTTAGATCAGACATGTCAAACTCAGGCCCGGGGTCCAAATTTGGCCCATGATATAATTATATTTGGCCTGCAAGATCATATCAGACATGTATTAGAGCTGGCCCACTGGTTACAGATCGGCTATAGAGACATTATTTATTTAAAATTGTGTTATTATTATTTTATATTTTGCTTGTTCTGGATCCAATGTTAAAGCAAAACTATTATTAATTATTTATTTTAATAAGAAAAGGTTTAACTTTACATATCTTGAAAGAAGAGAAAACATTCAGACGTTGTTGAAATATTTACTTTGGCCCACGACTTGGTCCCAGTTTTTAATTTTGTCCCTCTGTGAATTTGAGTTTGACAACCTCGAGTTAGATGATATCGTAAAAGTACCTGTAAATGTCTTGTGCAAAAAGTGATTTATCTTTTCGGAGGTTTTTACAATGTCATAAGGTTGTTCCCTCATCAAAAACATGCCTGAGGATGTTTTAGACGTCATCCATGTATGTTCTTGTGTTTTCTCCCGGGCACTATACGAACCCTCCTTATGCAACCCATGCTCCTACAGCCATTTCCCATAATTATACAAAAGCAGGATACAAAATAATGCACTACAACTTCACAAATCTGATAGAATGTGTAGTAGTTTCATTAGCCGGATGCTCACTAATCGTCTTGTGATAGCAGAGCAGCATATCTCTGAAGGGGGAGTGACTCAGTAATATATATCTTAATTGTACTCTTGAGCTTCTGTGACCCAGTAATTACTGTCAGATCAATAAAGAGTCAGTCCAAGTCTGAATTCCTCCTCTCAGGTAAAGTGTAAGTCAGAGTGCTGTGCTCCCCACTCGCGATGGAGTCTTTGTTCCACAGGAATGCTGCCGCTCCGGTCCAGTCGCATTACTCTGGTGGAGCAGGAGGGGCAGCGCAGGGACGAGAGTTTCACCAAGACTAACATGGAGGCACGGGAATGAGGGGAAGGCAGGGTTAGAGAGAGGAGGGACTGTAAGGGCAGAGAATATAGATTTCCTAGAGCTTTACGGATCAAGATTTATTAAGTCTTGTACAGGTTTTGAGTGTGTGCCAATACCAACAGGTACCAGACAAAACAAGACGAGACGCAAGAATCTGGCATACTTAATAATACATAAAATTACTCAATTAGCCCTTACAATTTTCAGTTTGTTTACATTTATACTTGTGTAGTCATTGGAACTTGACTGATCTCTGACGTGTGAGATCTTGTGGTTAAATGATTTGTCTCTAACCCATACAAAAGCCAAAATAAAACCACAAAATTAAACATCATCTGATATGTTTGTTTTGACTGTGTCCCTGTCTTGTCTCCCCAGGCTCTGTCCCTAAACCTGCCCCCTCGGTGGACCCGTGGGGCACCGTGGCTTCTGTTCCCCCGGCGAAGAGCGCTGATCCCTGGGCACCGAGCTCCGTCCCTGCCCCATCCGACCCCTGGGGCCCTGCAGCGGCCCGGCCCAAAACCTCCAACACAGGTTACAACGCAATATATGTTTATTCTGTCAAGTTTATTCACTAAAGAGGCTGATTTGAGTTATAGATTTGTTTTTTTGTGTGTTGTTTTAAGTTCTAAGTTTGAAACATCGGAAGAAATCTGTAATCAGTGTCAGTCATCCAAATGAGTAATACATATATTTCTGGTTCAGTATCTTAGTAACAGGAATTTAAAGGGTTGTACCAATTTTAAGTTTCGATGCAACTTGGAAAAATGTGAAGGTTTCAACTGAGCTGCTTGAAAACAAATATCCAAATTTTTAAGAGTCAGAATTGAGTCTTAAATGTAGTGGATCAATACATTTATTTGAAATTTTTGGGGAATTATGCGTTGATTAGTGCAAAAATTGTCATCAGGGTTGTATTTTAAGTAATGGCATTGCAAAACTCCATGCATAAACCCCTTTTTGTTCTGTAATGTTAGAACAATACTGACGTTATTGACTAAGGAAGCAAAACTTTAAAAAAATACTTTCTCAATTTCAGTCCCCACCTACAAACTTAAAAGTAAGTTAACCTTTGTGTACTTGTCACGTTATCAAAATCACCTCAAATTTACGATTATGGCTTGAGATCATCAGTGAAATCAAATTTTCTTTCATTACTGTACACTACAATTCCTCTGTTTAAGTTAAAAGAGCCACATTACAGTATTTTCTGATCTATGTTATAATGTTGTTTCTTCACCACAAACAGACCTGGAGTTGTGTTTTGTTTCATTCTCACATGTTTAACTCACAAATCCTGAGCTTTCTCATGATATTGCAATAAATATCGTAACGTGAGGTTCATACCGTGACAATATCGTATCATGAGACTTGGATATAGTTACACCCCTACTACACACCTTTGGATAATTTCAGCCCTAGAACTGACAGTCTCTTCTGACTTAAAAGTGACATGACATCATGAGGTGGAACAGAGCATTTTAAGATTTGGAGAGTTGGACAAACTAATACAGGGTAGCCACAGGATCTTAAAAGTCTTAAATTTCATGTTCCTAAATTAAGGCTTTAAAAAGTCTTAAATTATGTTGTCCAAATCTTTATTTTTTTCCACAAAGGTTTTTAATTTTATTAGCCTATTTTTTGTATACTCAACTGGGCTGCAGTGCAATACTAAATGAAGGGAAAAAAAAAAACAACAACATGAAATCACATAACCGGAATGAACGTCTAATCTGGAGTCTTGTTAGAGTCTTTGTCTTGTTAGAATGTTTTAAATATATTTTTGGCCATTTTACAAGCAACGCATATGACTATAAATGAGTTCTGAATGAGATTTTATATTGAAAGTATTTTTTGTTATTTAAATCAGTGGGTAAAGGTCATTATTAGAATTGGATCTGGTGTTTTTCCCCTACATAATGGGTGCTATATTGGTCTTAATTTTCATTTAAGTGGTCTTAAAAAGGTCTTGAATTTGGGATAGTCAAACCTGGCGATACCCTGTAATAATAATTTACTCAAACACGTGTGAATGAAAGAAAACACAACTCCAGGTCTGTTTTTGATGAGGTAACAATATTATAACTCGACTTAAAGCTCACAGGAGTCAGTTTTGTGTAATATAAGACCCTTTTTACAGAAATTGTCTTTTAAAAATAATACTTTACTATCAAAAATTCCAACCCACTGATCCACACTGTCGAGTCTGTGTGCACTCGCTCATGTCTCATGTCTTCCCTGTCCACACGTGTATCATTGTCCATGTGTTGTCCCCTGCAGGAAGCTTTGACCTGTTCAGTACATCCAATGGTACGTCTAAAGAGGACTTCTCAGAGTTTGACAGTCTGCGCTCCTCCTCCTCTGTCCCCACTGGTACTCACCCTGTCCTTGTCTTTTCTAATGACACCATGTGCTTTTACTCTGCGTCTCTATGCTGTTTTGTCTGTATGTCAACTAAGCTGGACCTAAGCAGATAACACGACCAAATTTACAAAAAAAAGCAACATTATTATTAATTAAAGCCGCTCTGTGTGACTTGTTTCCTTGGAGATTTTTTATTATTGCTTTGCCTGCAGTGTTTCCCAATACGGCATTACACTATTCCTGTATCCGATGCGGCGCTTGAGATAAAAATAAGTCTGCTGTGTGTTGTCTGCATCTAATTAGAAAGCATTTTATTTCATTAGCATGCTAGTTGTTGCCAGGCCAAAGTACAGTTCCGATCTTGGGCGAGGCAACCGCACTCACAGCAAGAATGCGTGTTTTTCGAGACATTTTTCAAGCAATAAAAACATTTCTAAATAAAACAGTTTAATGCCAATATTGTGGAATATTCCAAAAAGGAAAAAAAGTTACATATTGCAGCTTTTAATTGAAAAATAGTGATTTGCTTTGGTCCAATTTAGACACCCGGTGGATTCTGAAACTGTTTTTTAATGTGGATTGACACCAAAATATTGCCTGCACGTTTACAGAATCTCTCGAAAATGGGACACACTCTCACTTTACAAATAAATAAATAAAAATACGAGAGTTTCTGTAAAATGCACGGCAGCTCTGTGTTTCTTACGGGATTTGGCAGGAGTGAAAGGTGACATTGGGGAATTATAACCTTGCTTTAACACAACCTCTGCTGCCGCTGCTGATATGGAAGAATACAAACAGGAATCAAAAGTTTACCCAAAACACATTTATCAAGATTGTAAGTCACAAACATTAGGAGAACTTGGGAGCAATGCAGTGCTGGGTATTTTGGGCAGGAGCTATCTTACTTTCCATATGCTTTTTAGCCAACATGAAGGAGCCTGCCTGTCACTGAGCTTTGCCCCCAAACGCCCAGGCTGTCTGGCTCTGATGTCCTCTCAACAAACGCTGCCAACGGAGCCAAGAATGGAGCTGGTTATTAGAAATGAGAGCTGCACTTGAAGACTTAATTATTTTGTCACACTTTAATTCATGTTTTATTCAGGATGGTCCCCAGAAATCATCTTTTTTTGAGGGGGTTCAGCTAATTTTACACTACACTTGATGCACTGTTCCATAGTCCCACCTGATCGCACACCAGGTCTTACACCGGGTCTTACACTCTGCTTACTGAGATAGGTCTGTCAAGTGTAAAAATAATAAAATATTTTCTATAAGACATAACAGATGGGGCAGATGTTTTAGTTTAGTTATTTTCAACCAAATATAACCGGTGCGTAGGATTTTCAGAACGTGACTGAGGCTTTTTGTGTCATGTGAGATGTGGTCATAACAGTTTTATTAGACTCTCATGCTGATGACTGTCACGGACCTCGGTCATCTTATCAGCCTTTCTCTCTCAGGTAATGGTGGGATAGCATCGTCAGTGCCCTCTCAGGGCAGTCTGGTGAGCAGTGGCAGCCTGGACATCTTTGACCCGCTGCCCTCCTCTACTTCCACCTCTCTAAACCCCACCAGGAAGACCCCTGAGTCCTTCCTGGGGCCCAACGCTGCCCTGGTTAATCTGGACTCTCTGGTGTCCAAACCAGCCCAGTCTGCTCCTGTCATTAACCCTTTTCTGGCATCAGCAGGTAGGGTACTGATGTTCAGTATTGTGTTTAAATAAATGTGTTTATACTCACATTTACAACGCCACACTGCTACAACTCGAGACAAAGAAATGTATTGTCTGCAATCAATACATTTCACAGAAACCAGTCAGGCCTCAACTTGTTTAATTTACAGTTTGAATCTGAACTTGAAGGAGTTACTATAGTTGAGTCCACTCTTGTGTGTGCAGGTGCAGCTGCAGCTGCAGCCCCGCCTCCAGCTGCCAACCCGTTCCAGGTGAGCCAGCCGGCCCCTCCCACTCTGAACCAGATGCGCCTGAGCCCCATGCCGTCGGGCTTTGGGACCATAGGGGAGCCCATCACTCTGGCCTCTGTACCGGCTCAGCCCATCACTGTGGTCCCCCTCCCGGGCATGACCCCCATGGGCCGCACGGTGCCTGGCATGAGTATGGCCCAGGTGGGAGGGTCCACCAGTGTGGGCATGAGCGCAGGGATCCCAGCCTCCATGTCCCTGCCCCAGCCTCTGATGAGCATGCCCCCCCAGGCCGGCACCCAGCCCACTGGGACCACCAACCCCTTCCTTTTGTGAGGACCTCCCTGTTCTTCCTCTGACACTTCAATCTAAGATTCACCATGTACAAGGAGATGTCTAATCCCATGTATCCCTTTATAACTAACAAGCCAGGTGGACAGTAGCCATGGCACTGTGTGTGTGCTCTTCTTTCTAAAGCTTCACGCTGCCTACTCCTCCTGATCATGGACTTCCAGAGCTCTAGTGTTTACAGGTGTCTACAGTCAGTCTCATGCCCGACTGCTGCTCCTGTCTCTGGGACAGATGCTCGGACACTTCCCTCTGACACTGTGGCTCTTAAGTAGAGGACTTGACACAGCTGACCATGTGTGGTTGTATTTAGTGTTTTTACTGAGCAGGGATGTTGCACAAAAGTTTCCCCTCTTCTTGTCTGCGACTGTTGGGATCACCGGTACACCTTAGCTGAGGTAGGGAGGCTAGCTTTTTTCTTGGGAAAACCTACAATATCTTGTCTAGGTACCGCAGTCACCACTCTTACTCACTCCAGGTAAACTTCATGAACTTTGACCCTTAGTGGTCACAGGATATATAATGAACACTGAAATGCGTTCAAACGTGTCTGTATGTGTCCAGTTCTGCTTATGGTCAGTAACTAACCACTACCTTGTACGTCACTACATGTACCCAGAGAGGACAAACTAATCACAACAGTATTTTCTTGTTTTGAAAATCATGATTCTATTTAGTGTTTTGTTTTGGGTCAAAGGGATGCTTCACTTTTCACATGTCCACATTCTTCTTCTTGTTAGGAATGCTCCAATTTCAATCCTAAACATTAAGCCTTAACTCCTCAGGCACGCAGCCATATTTGTGAGATTTAAAGGGCACGCCAGCCACTGCCACCGGAGTTCAGCTCGGAGTGGATTTACTCGGGCTAATCCGTGTACAAGAACATTATCTCTCGGACAAACACAGCCACTCATCTGGTCTAATGATAGCACCAGGAACCCCGCCGTAAACACGAGTCTTTATTTACTGTCATATTCCAAATGCGTTACATTTAAAGATCTATGAAATCACAAGTTTTTTAATGTTTTATTTTTAACATTCTAGAGTTTTTTTTACCCTGTAAGTATGTAGTATTTTTAGACAACTGTTACCAAAGTCATAGCAAAAGTTCTAAACAGTAGGTTCACACCTCACTGACAACCTTGTTTATACTGTAGATGCTATCGGATACTCATTTATTATTAAGATTTTATTTTTATTTTACTTTTTGTATATCTCAAATGTTAGCTAGCAGAATAACACGGCTTTTACTGACAAATACGTTTTCCTCTTGCTGCTCAAATATCTGTAAGATGAGGAATCGCTTTTGGCGTTTAACCCTTGATTGTATTTTTATCATTGCCAATCTTTATACTTAACACGTAACTCGGGTAGGCATTTTTTTTTTTACTTTCAGTGCGAGCTGGCGCACTCTGCTGGTCTGTTTTGGTATTAGAAGCTAATTGCTGTTACAGATGTGGACAAAAGTGTTGGTGCCCCTCTGGCAATGAAAGAAAAATCAACAATTATCACTGAAATAACTTGAAACTGATAAAAGCAATAATAATAATAAAAAAAAAATTACTGAAATTTACTACGAAAATCAAACATTGCTTTTCACCTGTGGTTAATAACAATCATTAGAAAAAACAAAATAATGAAACTGGCCTGGACAAAAGTGATGGTACCCTTAACTTAATATTTTGTTGCACATCCTTTTGCGGTAATCTCTGCAAACTAACGATTTCTGTAACTGTCACTGAGACTTCTGCACTGGTCAACAGGTATTTTGACCCACTCCACATGAGCAAACTGTTCTTGTTGTCTCAGGTTTGAAGAGTGCCTTCTCCAGACGGCATGTTTCAGCTCTTTTCACAGATGTTCAGTAGGATTGAGATCTGGGCTCACAGAAGAACACTCCAGAACAGTCCAATGTTTTGTTCTTAACCATTCCTGTGTGTTTTTAACTGTGTGTTTTGGGTCATTATCCTGTTGGAAGACCCATGACCTATGACTAAGACCAAGCTTTCTGACACTAGGCAACACATTTCATTCCAAAATACCTTGATGGTCTTGAGATATCGTTGTATTTTGCACAGATTCAAGATGCCCTGTGCCAGATCCAGCAAAACAGCCCCAGAACAAAACCAAACCTCCTCCGTGCTTCACAGTAGGGACAGTGTTCTTTTCTTGGTCTGCTTCATTTTTGCGTCTCTGAACATAGAGCTGATGTGCTTTGCCAAAGAGCTCCAGTTTTGTCTCATCTGGCCAAAGGACATTCTCCCAGAAGCTTTGTGGCTTGTCAATATGCATCGTGGCAAATTCCAGTCTCACTTTTTTATGCAATCTGACACTGATGTACCTTGCCCTTCGAGTTCACATTTACTTTCTTTGGAGGTTGTTCAGGGCTCTTTGGTTCCAGTCGTATGATCCAGCTCTTCAATTTGTCATCAATTTTCCTCTTACGGCCGCGTCCAGGGAGGTTGCCTACAGTCCTGTGGACCTTAAACGTCTGAATAACATGTGGAACTGTAATCACAGGAACATCAAGCTGCTTGGAGATGGTCTTATGGTCTTTATCTTTAACCTGTTTGTCTATCATTTTCTTTCTAGTCTCCTGACACAGTTTTTTTCTTCTCTTTTTCTGGTCCATGTTCAGTGTTGTGTCCATCATGTCTCCAAACGGCACAATGATACATGTCGCTCTTTAAACAGGCAGACTGATTGAGGACAAGTTTGAAGACGCTTGTGATGCAGATTAGAGACACACCGAAGTTTAACATGTCCCCATTGTCCAAGTATTTACAATCTTTTCTAGGGGTACCTTCATTTTTGTCCAGACCAGTTTCATTTTTTTTTTTTAATAATTCTGTTGAACAACAAGTCAAAAACAGTATCTGATTTTCATTATTTTTCAGGATTTAAAAAAAAAAAATTTATAATCGCTTTTCTCGGTTTCAAGTTATTTCAGTGACCGTTGATGAGTTTTCTTTCCTTACGAGAGGGGTACCAACAATTTTGTCCACGTCTGTAAAACCCAGATCGACATTTTACTCAGGCAGGAACAACTAGAAACAGCTCCAATAGTTCGTCTATTTGTTTTGAATGATTTTTAAGTTGTTATGGCATTTACCTATAGACCAGCAAACTATGACATCTCAACAAATATGCAAAATTGGAAACTGTGTATGTTAAAAAAAAAAAAAAGAAAAAAAAGAAAGAAAAAAAAAACAATGGGGGAAAATTATGGACGACCTTTAATTGTATGTTTTTAATGTGTCAAAAAATAGAATACGTAATTGTATACAGGACTTTTTATGGGGCTAACTTTTAATGCAGTTACAATGTGGCCTGTATGTAGTTAATACCAAGAACTAACAGACATTCTTAACTGTGCGTGTCTATAGATTCACATACTGAAAGGTGCACTGTGCAACTTTTCAGGTAGAGGGTCCACTGTCTAATTGTCTCCATGGAGATGTTACTGCTTTGCCTGGAATGTTCCGCAGTATGTCATTATCTCGCAAGTAAATTACAAGTGGTTTTATTGCTCAAAAATACAGGGTGTCCCAAAAAGTTTGACATCATTTTGAAGGCCAATCATTTTGGCAATAACCTCAAATGTTCAGAGTATGTACAGGAACAGATCAAGATTTTATATTTAATGTTTTATTTATTTATTTACGGATCTGGTAGACCATCATCAACATCAGAAGAGAAGATCGAAGTTCGTGAAAAACTCGAGAAGTCCGTAAGGGGAACAAGTTTGGAAACCCAGATTTCTCGAATGACGGTTTGGTGATCCCGATCCAGATCCAAGTCCAAATTTGTTTGCCTGTTGAAGTTTTTCCAAATTTTGCATTGAAGGCACGCTGCAGTTTTGAGTGACTGTGTGCGAGCAGATTCCAAGACGCCAAAAAACTTCTCTTTGGGAGTGAACTGCATGGCTCAACCTGAAAACAAAACAAAAATTAAACAGTAAATACAAAATCTTGATCTGTTTCTCTACATTCTGTGAAAATTTAAGGTTATTTCAACAAGAACTGGCAAAATTATTGACCTGCGAAGTGATTTAACATTTTATTGGGACACCCTTTACCTTGAAAACACGTGCTCTTACTTTCACAGGGGTCACCTCTCTACAGATTTGACCTGTAACATTGCCTCGTCTCTTTGGAAATGGATACGTTAAATCCTGTGCTGTAGAAATCTCCTGGCAAAGCAATAACACCTCCAGTTGGCAGACGCTCCACCAGAAAATGTCCATAGTGCACCTTTAAGTACGGGGGGGCAGGCTGCTTTTCTATCCCATATTATGCTATACCCTCTGGCATTAAAACTGTATAATATAATTTATCATTTGTACTATTGTAACATACTGTTCCTCTGTATACCTTTTATTATTTTGTGTAATGGGGATTTTGTAGGAAAAGTCACCGTGGTATTTGACTGGCATAAACAAAAAGCTGCAGGCCACACTGTTGGATGTAGCAGGTTCAAAATAAAATGCGTATTAAGCTCTGTAAAGTTGTGAGTCGTTCGTTATTTGTGTCTCAAATAATAGGGCGCATCTCATTTCTTTTTCCTCGCTTCCTTCTCCTTCATTCCTCTCCTCCTGCAGGAAATGGGTGAGGAAGTCCCACCCACAGAGGAGACGCGATCTGGCCCTGGTTTTGACCAAAATGACAGGACTGCAATCTTAATTCAACCTGGAGAGACTCACACAAAGAGACAAAGAAAAGTATTTGTAGTTTTATAGAATGAATTCTCTTTGGCCGTCGGACCTGATAGAAGACATCGTGATGAAGGGAGTGGACGATTAGACGACGTTTAGGAGAGGTCTTCCCCTGAGTAATGTGGACGATGGGAGGATGAAGGGAGGATGAAGAGAGGATGAAGAGAGTGAAGGGGCCGATGAGAGGATGAAAAGAGTTAAGGGGACAATGAGAGGATGAAGAGAGTGAAGGGGAACAGAAGGTAAAAGATGTTTTCCGGGTGGTGCTGAAGTACTCTTAAGAGGGCATAGCTGCCTTTTAGGGGTGTGCAAAAATATCAAAATATCGATATATCGTATTGTTTAATGTGACAATACAGTATCGATATCGTGGGCTGCTGTATCAATAAAATCATTATTTATCATTAGCCAAACAATTTATTCATAAATGCAAATTCTCAAATATAAAACCCTTGTTCAATGTATATCGTCATGAATTTTTGCAATTTAAGAGATCCTTACGTCACATTAAATCTAAACAAGCCGTTATAATAAATGATTTTTTGCAGTCAGATGCATAAGACCTCTTGCATTGTATTTTGTTGTATTGACATTGCATTGTATGTTTTGTTTTATAGTTTATTTTATTTATTTTATTATTGTTTAAAAAAAAAAAAGAAATGCACATGCTCAGTCATACATTTGCATTGTTGACATAAGATATTTTGTATTGCCAGCATTGATTAATAAATAAATTAAAAAAAAAAAACTTCCTGAAACCTGCATGTTTAGGCCTAAAAACAATTAAATTAAAATCTAAATACACATAATATGTGTCAAAATCACTTCCCAAAATATTCATAAAGAATGTATAAATTGTGTAAAATATTTTTAAACTTTTTTTTAAATCTCTGTCCCTTGGCCGTGTTTTAGTCCACCAAAAATTTCGACTACAGCTAGTGATCACCAAATCATAACAAGTTTTTTATATTTATTATTACTGTTTGTAAGTTTACAGCTGTTACGAAATAAGACAATAAACGAAATTCAAATCAAAATCAGTACTTAAAGTTTATTGCTATTTCCTAGTATTCTAATCAAAACAGAGAATGTTTATTCTCTGACAAAATTCTACTTTCACAAGACAAATTTTCACTTTGTGAAAACCGTCTGACTTCACAGCATTAGGATTTGTTCGCTTGATGGTAGTTGGGTATTTTTTTATGTCATCAATCGCTGCTATTTGGTCATGACGTATGTAATGCGCCAAATCCCGTAGGAAGAAGGGCAAAAACGTCTTTCCCCTTAATAAAATTCACCAAACATTCTCTTTGTTACGGCTTTAAATCTTCGAACTCAGGAATCCGTGAGTGTGTATACATGCACATCAGCATCCCGGCTATTAGCCATATCCCAGTTATGGTAGTATTCGGGATACATGTGCGCTGAGATATTCATATCCCTGTATACATGATCAAAAATAGTATCCCGGTTTCTTGATATCATCTTACGAATGCGCAAAAATTATATACTTTGTAAATTGCTAAAGATACATAGAAACTATGAGATCACTGTGGCTTATTGTGGCCTTCGCTGTTTTAAATCTGCATTTTATAATCAATTTATGGCTCATCCACTTCATTATGAGCTATGAAAGACGGGAGAGGCTGTGGACTCTTGGTACAATCGATACCTTTAAATATCCTGTGTCCATCTTCGCCTCTGACCCAGACCAGGGACCTGTGGATGAAGGTACGGAGCCGGGAGTGATGGGAGAAAGTTGTCCTCATGGAGTTCACTGACAGCGAATGGAGGGAGAACTTCTGAATCAGTCGAGCATCCTTCAACCGGCTTTGTGTTTTGGTGGACCCCTTTATGCAACCGGCAGAAACACCTGTCTGCACACCAGTTCCACTACCAATACGAGTGGCTATAGTCTTGTATAAACTGGGAAGCTGCGGTGAATATCACCTGATTGCCAATCAGTTTGGGGTTGAAAAATCAACTGAGCTTCTTATGTGCTGCAGGGTGTTGTGGATGACCAATGCTGGTATGTTTACTTCTATTTTCATTATTTTCCAAAGTGTTTTTTTGTGTACCATTTATTGTAAGTGTGTGTATTTTTAATAGTTTTTGGAGTGTGATCTGCAAAGTCCCTGGCTGTGCCCATGATGCCAATGTACTGGGGATGTCTGATCTATATAGACAGGCTCACAGACTGCCTAAGGCTGGTCCTACAGCAACTCTTAAATTTAATGTTCATGAAGATTTCATGTTTCAATTCCATATTCTATTGTTCAGAGAGTGGTGGAAGTAGATGGTGTTGGGGTCAATTTCTATATAATTGGTGACCCTGCATACCCTCTGCTGGACTGGCTTCTGAAAGGCTGCACCCGTGTTCAAGCCCAGACACCTGAGCAGGAGTTATTCAGTGTTCATCTGAGCGCTGCCTGCACCTGTGTCGAGATGGCATTTGGGAGGTTGAAGGCAAGGTGGTGGATACTACTGAAGAGAAATGATCTCCACGACACGTGGCCTCCCACTTGTCTCGACCGGGACAGAAAATGGGCAATTTCTTGTCCAAGTCATCGTTAAATGCACATTTGCGCTTTGGCATGTTACAGACTGATCGACTGTTTGTGTCTGCTCTCTCCTCCTGAGTGTAGAGAGAGCTACGAGAGCCACTCAGTTTAATGGCCCAATGAAAGATCATGAACAATGATGACATTTGCATCACTTTATGAAAAAGAACCCCGGACGCCCAGGACAGGATGCAAAAAACTGACATGTCCTGGGAAAAACGAACATTTGGTCACCCTAGAAGAACTGAATTGCAATCGGCTGGGCCAATTGCAGATTGAGACGGAGCCCCCACCCATAGTCTCAACCCAGCCATCTCTGCCCCGCTTCGTACATTATCAATAAACTTCTTCGCACTATGTTGTTGTTGGCGTGGTCCTAGCTAGTGAATAATTTGTACTGCCCTCAGACAAGTCACAGTAATAAGAACAACATTTTACAAATTTTTTGACTGTACTCAGACAAGCACTCACATAAAGTTGTATTTTTCATGAGTAATTAAAATGGCTTTTTCAGTAAATAAAGAATAGAAAAACACACTGAATCATGATACAGCTGTGACCAGTTCAAATTTAATATAAAAAAGTAAAAAATGACAAGAAAGAAGGAAAAATACAAATATATATAAAAATCAAAAAGTACAAATTCTACACAGTAAACACAGAATTAAAGGTTATCTTGTTGCAAACAGCACTTGCATTAAATTAAGCCAAGTAAGAATGCACTTTTAAAAAATATATTGTATGATTTTACAGAGTCCAGTGGAAAACCTGATTCAAGTCCAAAGCATAGTGAACGTTGAAATCAGTCGGCTGACCAGTCTGTCGAATATGGCTGTGTGGTGGAAGGCCCTGTATCATACCCTAATTTCTTCATGTCTTTGGTTATTATGTGGAAAGAGGCAGTGACAAACCCCTGGGATCGGACACGTGTTACTAAAAAAAAAAAAAAACAATTCTCATTAGCAAATTTTTTATAGTGTTTTGAAGCAGGTGAGTAGTGTTTAGCTGTAAAATTCTCACCTCCTCTTCCTTCCCCTTGGGCAACAACTTTAGGGTCTGTGTACTCCGGTCTGCGTCCTAACAGCCAACTATAAAAAAGAAAGATATTTGTCAAAATGTCTTCCCTGTAGTTGCCAGACACTAAAAGCATGTGTTGAACAAGTTTGAACTGCTATCTCAGTGGTTAAGTAAATATTTGAGTAAAACCAGCTTTTCCTAGGGGACTGGATAAGAATTGTATAACACCAGACTTTCAGATAAATGAAAATAATCTAGTTTAATTTAAGAAATGTTAGTATTTTTGGGATTAACAAAGAGCCTACATCTAATCTATCCTGTGATGGTCAACAGTGAGAAACCTTAACTCAACCTTAAAGAAAAAAGAACTGTAATTAAGTACATTTTAGATATCTGTGCGTGGATACTTTCTACTACTTTGTACTGGACCGAAATGTAAAAGTGTTTTTAAATAGTTTTGAGACTGATTAAACTTGCGGAAGAGTTTATAGTTTAAGTTTAGGTCCTAAGTGTGCGCAAAAGAATAAACAGCTAGAAAAATAAGAAATTCAAAAATCACTTTATCAACATAACAATATTTGACACTTTAATAAATCAAATTCTGTCTGAAATACTTTTTACACTTAAATTACATTTTAAAAAATACTTTTACTTGACCATTGTTTTCTGTCCTGTATCTCTCTAGCCTGATTCATCAGCCGGTTTCACTTCGTAGAAACCGTTTGACCTTGAAGCGTTAGGATTCGTTCGCTCGACGGTAGGCGGGTACTTTTTTCTTTTAACCAATCGCTGCTATTTGGTCGCGAAGTATGAAATGTGCCGCTAACTGGACTAACTGGTATATTAAGCTTTTCCAAAATCACGTAACAAGAAGGACAATAACGTCTTTCCCCTTGATAAAATTCACCAAACATTCTCTTTGTTCCAGCTTTAAATCCTCGATCTTGGGAATCGTTGCCAACACAGAATGTATGGCTCTTCGCTGATTGGCTGGTGCCTGAACTCACACTTTCGGGGTTTTCGTGAACCGTCTAGTGTATTTTAACCGAGGTGTTCCAGGGTACCTCATTAGAATACTTATCTTCTGGTATACCTGTCAGTCCATGCAGGTGAAATGGGGTGATTCTACTTCTGACTCTTTTAGGGTCAGTAATGGAGTTCACCAGGGTGGAATCCTGTCTCCCCTTCTGTTTAATATCTATGTTGATGACCTGTCTGTGCAGCTGAATGAATGTAAAATTGGATGTTTTGCTGGTGATTATCTGTATAATCATTTAATGTATGCAGATGACCTAGTACTGCTGTGTCCTTACAGTGCAGGTCTGCAGCAGCTTTTAAATATCTGTTCTCAGTTTGGCTTTGAATATGACATTAAGTACAATGCTCGGAAAAGTCACGTAATGATTGTTAAAACAAAAGAGGACAAAAAGTTGTCCTTTCCTGTTTTCTCTGTGTGCGGGAGTGCCCTCCAACTCACAGATGAGGTAAAATATCTTGGACATTATGTCACCAGTGACCTCTCAGATGATAGAGACATGTACAGGCAGCAGTGTAAGCTTTATGGCCAGGCCAATATGCTTGTCCGTAAGTTCCTCTATGTGCTCCAGTGATGTCAAAATTGCACTTTTAAATGTTTTTGCTCACCTTTGTATACTGCGCATCTTTGGCGTAACTATAAGAAAAAGAGTTTGCAGAGTTTGACAGTGGCGTATAACGACTCTTTGAGAATATTACTGAAAGTGCCGAGGTTTTGTAGCGCCAGTGAATTGTTTGTAAATTGTGATGTGAGACCCTGTGCTGTCATAATCAGGTGTTGTATTTATTCATTTATGTGTAGAGCCATGAATCTGAGTAATCAAATCATTGAAGCTCTAGTGTGTCCTGTGAGGAGCTCTGTCAGATTCAAAGCTGTGGAGACACTGGCAGTCTTGTCTGTATACGTTATAACATGCACTGTATTTAACTTTTTATTCTTACTATTGTTTTGTTTTTTTTGTTTATACTATGAACCAGATATCATGTGTTCTTAATAAAGATTGAATTGAATTGAATTTAATATTTTAATTCCTGACCTAGTCGCTGGAGAGAAATGAAATTGAGCGGAGGCACCAGCCTGGCTAGTATCTTTAAGTAACAAAAAGGAGTAACCTTTAGATGTTATGGCACTACACTTAAGCCTTATTGTTTACATTGTTTTAATAAAAATATTTATGCTCGGTCTCAATTTTAAGATTTAAGATGATGACTAGTTTTAGTGCAAATTTCTATATCACTAGAACTGGGTCAAATATTCTTTCTAACCTTGTAAATTTCTGGAGTCTCCAGGTGGGTTCAGGGACAAACATGGGAATGGTTCTTGAGTGCCTGAAAAGAAATTATTTCAGTGTATGAGGAAATTTACAGTATATTGTAAATAAAATATCAGCAATATCATCTATTCCAAAATTCTGACAGGAAATGAAAATGTGTAGTGAAGAATTTCAAAGTTTAGAAATTCAGAAATACTTACTGTCCAGGAGTGATAGGAATATGCGTAGCTCCATAGCCTCTGACAACATCATTACCAAACACATCCGGTCCATACACGCTCACTACCAGCTGAGGCCCTGCCGAAACATTACATAATTAATTAAAATGACATAGTTATTGTGTAATTATCATATCAAACCAGGTACATGTGTTGGTCTGATCCTTACATCCACTGGGGCTTGTGCTTTTAAACGTCGTCTCGAGCGGGAAGTTCCATATTAATTTATTGGACATACTTCCTTTGCTTGTGATTTGTGTGATGCCCTCCTCCAAACCCTACAAAGGAAAAAATAAATAAATAGAGGCATACAATTACAATTTGTGATAGGGTGTTGCGCTCTTATGTTGTTAAAACTTTAAAACAGAGGTAGTAAAAAAAAAGTGCTTTCAGAATTGCAGTGTTTTTACAGATTTACTTCTGGGTTATTTCTGCACTTGGTCTATTTAAACTAGTGTTTCCCAGACAATTTTTTCTGGGAACCCATATTTTAAAAGTCACAAACCTTCGCAACCCAAGTCAATAGACATTATTTGTGGATTTGACCATATTTTGACCATATTTTATAGTTGACTGAGTGATCATGCCTCTCTGAACAATTAGTATTACTCAAGTTTTAAACAATGAAAAACAGTAATTGAAGCAGCAATAAAAGGATCCATAAGTCGCCTATTTGGACATTAAATGTAGCCCCTTTTTTTTTTTTCCCAACATTCAATTGAACCAGCAATACTGGAACAAATTAGTCTGTAGAACTGTATATTGCAGACTTACATGCAGATTGTGACTAGACGACCCCAAAAAAAATCTCTTGTGACCCACCTGAGTCTTTGGGAAACAATGCTTTAAATGACAACAGATCTTTTCATATGATATTTTCAAAAATCTTATAAATTCAGATATTTAAATTCACAGAAATACAATTTGATAATTAAAAAAAGATATCAAAGAATGAGAACTTCGCACATCAATTACTTGAGAAGGGTGCGTTGGAGGAGAGGGAGCAGCCCAAGAACATAGAGAAAAATCCCACACACCGTCTTACTTGCAAATTGTGAGATTTATTAGGCCACTAGACAAAGGCAAACAGGTAGAAAGGTAATAAATCTCACAATTTGTAAGTAAAACAGTGTGGGATTTTTCTCTATGATTAAAAAAAGAAAAAAAAAAGTTTATTACCAAGGTCCATTTAGCTATTGTTTTTCTTATTCATTCTCAAATCACACATCAAAATCTGCATATTAGCTCTACAGGCTTTAGTCTGAGCCAATCTCAATTTATAAATTAACTAAATATAATATGATACAGCGATATAATAGTTTGTTTGGCCTCTGTAACCATAGCCCTAGAAATTACCCTTTGGCTATAATCCGGAGTGTTTACGTTATAGAATTTTTATAAAATCCATGGTTTACATTACTGTTGTATCATTGCCATTGTACGCAGCTCACCTCTGGACTAATTATAAAAAAGCCAGTTTGCAAAGACTGCAGGTGGTTTACAATGACGCTTTACGGGTGCTTTTGAGGAGGCCACGATGGACGAGTGCGACTGAGATGTTTGTTACTGCTCGAGCGAACACTTTACAAGCTGCTCTTAGAATTTTAATGTACAGTTTTATCTGCAGACTGAACAGATCAGACAATGAAATAATAATGTCACTCACAAATATGAGATTCAGTGTAATAAGATATCAGTCCAATATGTGGAGACACTGGTATGGTTGTCTTTTAAAAACATAAATGTTTGTTGTTTTGTAATGTTACTTGCGCCTTCTTCATTACAATTATTAGTTTTGGTTACGACCATAAACGAAAACAAAAAATCCTTAACTTTTTCTTTCTCATTACTGTTTATTTTGTACGATCATAAACGATAAACTTTGTGCCTACGATAACATTATTATTAGTTTGTACGACCATAAATGAAAATATGTTTCTGCATGTATGTATATGTGTGTTATGCATATGTCTGTATAAACATTTATATTGAGTGTGTGTACTGGATATCTATGATGCGTATATGTATGTATGTATGTGTGGATATGTTTTTGTATATATGTGGGTATATTTCTGCATAATGACAGGTAAGCCCTCCAAAGGTGATATATATTTAAAAAAAAAAACACCATCCATCCATCCATTTTCTTCCGCTTATCCGGGGCCGGGTCGTGGGGGCAGCAGTCTAAGCAGGGACTCCCAGACTTCCTTCACCCCACTTCGTCCTCCAGCTCCTCCGGGGGGGACCCCAAGGCGTTCCCAGGCCAGCCGAGAGACATAGTCCCTCCAGCGTGTCCTGGGTCTTCCCCGGGGCCTCCTCCCGGTGGGACATGCCCGGAACACCTCCCGAGGGAGGTGCCCAGGAGGCATCCGGAACAGATGCCCGAGCCACCTCAGCTGGCTCCTCTCGACGTGGAGGAGCAGCGGCTCTACTCCGAGCTCCTCCCGTGTGACTGAGCTCCTCACCCTATCTCTAAGGGTGCGACCAGCCACCCTGCGGAGGAAACTCATTTCGAGCGCTTGTATCTCGTCCTTTCGGTCATTACCCGGAGCTCTTGACCATAGGTGAGAGTAGGAATGAAGACTGACCGGTAAATCGAGAGCTTCGCCTTTCGACTCAGCTCCTTCTTCACCACAACGGTCCGATACAGCGACCGCATTACTGCAGACGCTGCATCAATCCGCCTGTCAGTCTCACGTTCCGTCCTCCCCTCACTCGTGAACAAGACCCCGAGATACTTGAACTCCTCCACTTGAGGCAGGGACTCTCCACCCACCCGCAGAGGGCAAGTGAACAACGTGATTATGTAAAACAATTGGGGTAGGACTCTATAAGTTTTTTAAACTTCATCCTACTCCTTTTGAGCACCAGGTCCCAAATATGTTCATGTACATCACTATTTTTGTTATTGTTTTTGAATTTTATTGTACCTGGCTCAAACAAATAAATAAATGAACTGAAACAAACTGTCCTTGTCTGTTTTAAAAATGGACCATGAGTCCGGAATAAAGATGATGATGATGATGCATAAATAAATAGTTGTATTAATGTTAGTATTATATTATAAGCTATATTTTTGTATCTAGTCAGTTTTATAAAATACTCACAGATGTTGGAGTCCAGTCATGACCGTAGACGTAGCAGTATTTGCAGTACAAGTTGTCATACTCTGGAAACTGGAATGCAACAAAAAGGTTAAACATTAGGCAATTACTGAAAAAAAGAAGCAAAAAGCCAAACATGATCAGAGTCTTTCTAAACACGACGCTGTACGCTGGTGCTAACTATGCTAAGATAACAGTGTTTACCCACGTTTGCGCCTTCGATCTGCCCGTTCACCGTGAGCAGGAACACGGCCGGGTTCACGGCAGCCATCCCGGGTCAGATTAAAAATGTTAAAACCCGCAACCACTTAAATTTAATCATGTATCCAGCCCGATTATATGTTTGAAAACGCTAAATCCGCTAAATCTGCAGCTTTCCTCCGTTGCTAGGGGCGACGCTTGTTTCCTCTACGGGTCCCTGTGAGAGTCAAACTGAACAAAACTGAATCGCGAATGGACACGTTGCATTTTCTGTAAATATCCACTAGGGGGCGGTGAGCGATAACACTACGCACATGGCGAGTTACCAAACTTTTGTGCAGCAAACGTGCTCAATTAAAATAAAAACATAACAGTAATTAATACCAGATGAAGAGAAATAAAAATGATCCTTCGCGCTAAGGTAAGTTTTAGTGATGCTTTTTATTGTATTTATTCTGTATGAATTTTTAAAGAGTCCTAGATATTGTACAAAGTGTATTTTATCGTGGTAAATTTTAGCATAGCTTTTTTTTCCGCTTGGCATATTAACTTTTTTTTTTTTTTTTTTAATATATACTGGCGGTTTTTTTTTTTCTTCTCCATCGTGTGGTTTTGCCTGGACAGGTAATTAATTTGCATGACTGCAGGATTGAAGGAAGTGATTTTATTGAGTTTTATTTTATTTAAGTGTTATATAGAATTCTGACCAATATATTATTTTTAATGTCATCCAATGTGGCTGCAACCGTAAATCTAAATTCAAAACTGGGACACACCTGGGTTGGAATGGTTGGTATGAATAAAATTGTGAAAATAGTGTGTAACATTGTGCATTCTCGTGTCAGTCATAATCTGAGGGGCTTCTGTCACTGCATTTTTTTGTTTTATGGTCATTTGCAAACACGTTTTTCTGTATTTTGGACCAACAAATGACAATTTCTGCTCCTTTTTTACTGATTTGTACGGTCAAAAATTATGATAGGTCTGTTTTAGTCTTAGTTTAGTCCTGGTTTAGATCAAATTGGTCAAAAATAGGGACATCTGGGACATTTCTTGTATAAAACTGGGAAAAATCACTGGTTTTGGATAAATCTGCTGGGACAGAGGGACACAGGACTCATAACTAGGACTGTCCCGGGTAAATAGACACATCTGTTCACCCTAGTCAACAATTCAAATAATAATAATAATAATCTTAATTGTATTTTGATAATCGTAAAATAATTGTTAAGTGGACGCTAAAACATATGCAAAAGAATATGGCATTATTAAACAATTACTTCAAAAATATTTGCTATGTAGAGGTACCATATTTCAAGCTTTAATTGGCAGACCAAAGCCTCAGCGTACAATAGACGATTGGTCGCACGGTGGGTGAATGACATCTGTGCAGAGTTTGCATGTTCTACCTGTGTCTGGATGGGTTTCTTCTGGACACTGTGGCTTTCCCCATCAACCCAGAACACTAAGGGCCTGTTCACACAACAACGTTTTTTTCGTCGAAACTGTGAAATTTGTATTCGTTTTGGTCTTTTGTCCACACGGAGCCGGCGTTTCAGGTGGGCGAAAACGGTGTTATTTGAGAATGGGTTTTGAGACCGAGTTATTCTAATAATTCTCATCCAAATCTTATGGCTAAAAATGAAAACTTATGTTTAACTTTTGAAAAAAAACAAAAAAAACAGCTATATTTCTGGGATACATCTAAAATAGGCTAAATTACCTTAAACTTAAAAAAAAAAAAAATGTGATGGGATATGCATTATTAAATATTATTATCATTGTTTACAGCGCCACGTACAGGTGTGGCATATGTGTTACATAATTTTCACTCAGTGCTCTGTTGTTATCTAGACGTGACTATTTATTGATCCGACACTTGTGGACGTGAATCTTTTTCAGCCCGTAAAAAATAAATAAATAAATAAAAATCCAGGAGTGTTGTCGTGTGGACGCATCTTAAGGCATTCCTGACCAAGACTAACAACAAGATCAGTGGCCTAGTGGCGTTGAAGTATGGGTCAAATACAAGAGACAATAAAGTGTAACTCAACTTATTGAAATAATATTTGACAATTAGACTATTGAAATAATTGTTATTGCTATGATACAGACTCTATACTATAAATCTTTCCCCATCTTTTCTATTAGTCAGCGTGGCATTACTCTGAGAGAATTTAGCAAATCTCAGCGGAGTATGAATTCTTAGAAGAAGATTTAAAGTTTATGTTACTGAAAATACTTCTTAAAGATCATAAAGCTGCTAATAAGTGAGTTCTCATAACATGAATATTGGGACTAAGAAAATCCTCTTGAACTTTTTGCTGACAATTAGCTGAATATCTTTTGTTCCTTAATCACTCGTTCTTAGTTCCTCATCTCTCTTCATCCACTTATTTGCCCACCTGTCCAAACTTGTCTTTCATTTGTTTTTACCTTCTGTCCATCCCTGCATTCCAGCAAGTTGTTCTTTGTGTGCTGCCATATTTTCCCTACAATCTGTCCTCCTGTCCCCTCCTCACTGTCTTCGTCTCCTCTTCATCTCCTCCTACGTGACCGCTTTGTTGTCTCTCCATCTCCCCAGTCCTCCAGCTCGTGCCAAATGCCTGATTTAGAGTGGGACCAGATGCCCCATTTCAACTCACTGTGGAGGGGCCGGTCCCAGTAGGGTCATCTAGTTCAGAGAATGTGCCGAATGGTAAGTTCAAGTGCACTAGTGTAATTTATTCATTTATTTACTCATGATTTGGTTAACAAAGATGCAGATTTGTAGTGTGGCTCCATATTAAGGGGTGTGACAGATGGAAGACCACATACAATACATGGAAATTAAGTGCAGTTTAAAATGCATATAGGCCATATACCTTTCCCGGTGGAGTTCCTTAGAGTGGTTCTGTGTCGCAGGTTGCACAATGATGAAGTCGCCTGGAGGAAGCAGCTTTCAGACTCGGCCTCCAGTCAGGTGCCCTTCACTTATGTACAAGTATGTGTGGAAGATAATTGGTTTCATCAGATTTTGAATTATAAATGCCGTTGAATTTCTCACTTTGAATTTTTTTAACGCTGAAAAAACATGTTTGAATTATTTTTAGTCTGAATTTTAGTGGCTGAAATTTTAAGTGTACATTTTCAAAGTGTTTAAAATTAAATATATATATATATAAAAACATATTCTCAAGGTCTCAAATTCAACAGTCAAAATTCAGAGTGTAAAATTCGCAGGGAAAAATTTCGCAACAAAGATTCAAGATGCCAAGGCAAAAGCAATCGATCTTGCGTGAGTGAGGAGGACAGAGGCTGTTTCCTATTGGCTGTCCTCATCAGTGGGTGGGGTTTACCCTTAAATAAAAGAGAAGAGATTTTGATGAGGCACTGCAAATTTTCAGAGTGTAAAAAAAGTTTGCCAAAAGATGCCAAGCCAGGAGCAATCGATCCAAAATAATCCGTTCTAATTTAGTAACAAGCAGGAAATGGTGCAGTGAACCGATCTGATTGGTCAGAATTTGCCTCATCAAAATCTTTTATTAAGTGTAAACCTCGCCTACAGATGAGATCGACCAATAAGAAACAGCCTGGGTCCTCCTCAGTCACGCAGGATCGATTGCTTTTGTCTTGGTATTTTGGATCTTTGTTGCGAAATTTTTTCCTACGGATTTTACACTTTGAATTTTAGACTGTTGAATTTGAGGTCTTGAGAATATGTGCTGAGTAGGTAATTTTTTTTATTTTGAATTTGAAACCTATTGAAAATGTGCAATTAAAATTCCAGCAACTAAATTCAGTATAAAAATAATTCAAACATCTTTTTTTTTTGAGTTAAACATGCAAAGTGAGAAATTCAGCTGTACAAATTATCCATTGTATGACTAATGTTAAACTGTTTAAGGATTCTTTTTTTTTTTTTTTTTTTTTGACATTTTCACCACATCTCATCAAAATCATTTGTATTTTTGCTTACTTTACACTTGTCTGAGCCAAAGCTGTCTCCTCAGAGCACACAAACATTTACATTTCTGTTTGCATTTTGCCTGGATTGTTGCATCACAGGTAAAAATCCAAACTTCCATAAATGTCTATAAACCATCAGGGGATATGTCCTGCTGTGAAACTGTGTACACAACAAACGCATGTCTGTTAGTATAGCAATCACTTGACTTAAGGGTTTAATTTGTTTATTTTCTGATGGTTCATTCCGGTTTCTGACAGCAGAGGGAGCTAAATACGTAAATGGAAACGGAAGTGTAGTGTTGAGTGTATTTTCCAAATTGTTACCCTAATAGCACAGTTGCCTAAGTCATATTTGAATGTTTTTTGGAAAACAAACACATTTTTTAGCAAGCACATTGGTATTTTTCATTGATATTGTATAGAGATGACTAAGGCAGACATAGATTTTGGACTCTAAGAAGCGTTCTGAGGACATAGGCAGTAAGACAGGGTGATGCAGCAGTGGTAGCAGATAAAGTTAAGCAGATCTCACAATTTGGCCAAAACATGACTTAGACAATTATGCTATTAGACTAACGAAATACAGACATTATTTTAAGTTGGAAAATGTGAAATACTTAGCCCAAGATGACCAAAAGCATGTTTAAAGAGAGGGTGTGTCTGCTTTTTGGAGCTTTCTACCACGTTATAATGTTGCTCCCTCATCAAAAACATGCCTGAAGAAGTTTTAGATATCATCCATGCATGTTTGAGTAATCTAGTGATCTCTCCCAGGCCCTATTCAAACCCTCCTTACGGTTAGCAGTATGATTTTTGTCCAAACTCCCACAAAGCACGATACCAAACAAAACGTAACATAGGCAATAAGGAATTCACACAGATTGTAATGTAACTGTGTGCTCTGAAGGGGGAGTAGGGCAGAGTAGGGGAGGAGGGACTTAGACCAGCAAAACAATTACGCTGTTTTTGGCGAATATAGCATTTTAGAAACAAAAAGGGTAACATGGTGATCTAAATATATTTCATCTTGGCATTTAGTACCCTACAGAAGTGCTGTTTAATTGAAAAGAACTACAGATTATCTTAAAAGTCACCAAATATTCCATCTGACAAGCATAATCGAGTGACTAATGATCATTTGTGAAACGGACTTGTGGAAGTACAGGATACTGATGGAGGTTAATGTCTCAGAGGCCATGTGAGTAATAGCCTGTGACTGCTGGTTGGCTGACTCCGC